CTCAGTCAATGGCATTGCGATTTAGGTCACCCAAAATTGATTTTCGAAACTTGGTACATATGTCCAACGTTGACTTTGAAATATTGAGCTCCAATACCAATTTCCGAAGGGATTGGTTCACATCGGACATTATAAATACCGCATCGCTGATTTTGTCATCGCAGTACCCGAATGCTGACGGCCTTCAAAGCACGACACTTTATACCACAATATCTGGCCCAAAGGTCTACGCTCCTTTCAAAAAGTTTATTCAAATTTTGTTCGTGCATGATAATCACTGGGTAGCTGCGTCAAACATATTTTCTTTCAATCAGAATACCATTCAAATCTATGATAGTTCGTACTTGAAATACACAGAAAATGACAAATATGCTATTTCGCTTCTCATGCGGCCAACATTAGGAACAAACAAACTACAGATTGAATTTCCTCCCGTCCAGCAACAAACGTTAGGTGCATCTTGCGGACCATTTGCAATAAGTTTTTGCATAGCTTTATGCGAAAGAATTAGACCAGAGGATATAGTTTTCGATGAGATAAATCTGCGAAAAAATATTTATGATGGCATAAGTTCTGAACGATTCTCACCAAATTTTAATATCGGCCGAAACCACAATAAAACCAATACGAAATTTATGGATATTCAGATATTTTGTAACTGCCGACTGCCCTACATACAAAATCAGACTATGATAGAATGCACTTCATGTTTGGAATGGTACCACCCGGAATGTTGCAATACTCCTGTGCCAACTGAGGCACTGGAAGATTGCAAAATTGAATGGCATTGCGAGAAGTGCAATCGATGCTAAATTTTTTCGTTATATATTCACCATATGCCTAACTCCAATTATTTTTCAGATCCATCGGCTTCATGGACACACAAATGATCAGTCTATTTTACCTTTTGCAATATATGCCAAAGTTAAGGGTTTTCTCTCTCGATCGTCGCCAGTTTTGAGATGAAAACCATCACGATAGTTGGCACCTTGACGTGGTGTGGTGGCTTACTACTAAGACCAACTAATTATCCAATGCAATAAGTGTGTCTACTACCCAAAGTGTAAATGGGACCCTGATTATAAGACATTTTTTTTAAGGGCGAACTATGTCATTTTGCCATTTCTATCGTAAATTGACTAGCGGGCCATGTTTAAGCGATTATAAAAATATTTCCCCCCCCATACAAATTTTTCAAACTAGCTGTATTAACACTTTATTATATGTACTACTGCTGGTCTTGTGTAAATGAGGGGCTCGTAATTGTAAGATACTCATTTTTTGAGACAAATTAGTTTTTTTTACCATTTCTATCATTAATTGACTAGCGGGCCATGTTTAAGCGATTATAAAAATATCTTCCCCCCATTCAAACTTTTTCAAACTTGCTGTATTAACACTTTATTATATGTACTACTACTGGTGTTTTGTAAATGTGGGGCCCATAACTGCAAGACACTCATTTTTGGGGGCAAAAGAGGTCTTTTTGCCATTTTTCTCATAAATTGACTATCGGGCCATGTTTATGCGATAATAAAAATATCTTCCCCCCATACAAACTTTTTCAAACTCGCTGTATAAACACTTTGTTATATGTACTACTGCTGGTCAACTGAAAGACACTCATTCTTTAGGGCTAAATAGGTCTTTTTGCCATTTCTATAAAAAATTGATTATCGGGCCATGTTTGGGCCATTATAAAAATATTTTCCCCCCATACAAACTTTTTCAAACTCGCTGTGTTAACACTTTATTATATGTACTACTACTGGTCTTGTGTAAATGAGGGGCCCGTAATTGCAAGACACTCATTTTTTGGGGAAAACTAGGTCTTTTTGCCATTTTTTATCAAAAATTGACTACCGGGCCATGTTTGGGCGATTATAAAAATATCTTCCCCCCATACAAACTTTTTCAAACTTGCTGTATTAACACTTTATTATATGTACTACTACTGGTGTTTTGTAAATGTGGGGCCCATAACTGTAAGACACTCATTTTTTGGGGCAAAAGAGGTCTTTTTGCCATTTTTCTCATAAATTGACTATCGGGCCATGTTTATGCGATAATAAAAATATCTTCCCCCCATACAAACTTTTTCAAACTCGCTGTATAAACACTTTGTTATATGTACTACTGCTGGTCCTGTGTAAATGTGGGGCCCATAACTGAAAGACACTCATTCTTTAGGGCTAAATAGGTCTTTTTGCCATTTCTATCAAAAATTGATTATCGGGCCATGTTTGGGCCATTATAAAAATATTTTCCCCCCATACAAACTTTTTCAAACTCGCTGTGTTAACACTTTATTATATGTACTACTACTGGTCTTGTGTAAATGAGGGGCCCGTAATTGCAAGACACTCATTTTTTGGGGAAAACTAGGTCTTTTTGCCATTTTTTATCAAAAATTGACTACCGGGCCATGTTTGGGCGATTATAAAAATATCTTCCCCCCATACAAACTTTTTCAAACTTGCTGTATTAACACTTTATTATATGTACTACTACTGGTGTTTTGTAAATGTGGGGCCCATAACTGCAAGACACTCATTTTTTGGGGCAAAAGAGGTCTTTTTGCCATTTTTCTCATAAATTGACTATCGGGCCATGTTTATGCGATAATAAAAATATCTTCCCCCCATACAAACCTTTTCAAACTCGCTGTATTAACACTTTATTATATGTACTACTACTGGTGTTTTGTAAATGTGGGGCCCATAACTGCAAGACACTCATTTTTTGGGGCAAAAGAGGTCTTTTTGCCATTTTTCTCATAAATTGACTATCGGGCCATGTTTATGCGATAATAAAAATATCTTCCCCCCATACAAACTTTTCAAACTCGCTGTATTAACACTTTATTATATGTACTACTACTGGTGTTTTGTAAATGTGGGGCCCATAACTGCAAGACACTCATTTTTTGGGGCAAAAGAGGTCTTTTTGCCATTTTTTTTTCAAAAATTGACTATCGGGCCATGTTTAAGCGATAATAAAAATATCTTCCCCCCATACAAACTTTTTCAAACTCGCAGTATTAACACTTTATTATATGTACTACTACTGGTCTTTTGTAAATGTGGGGACCGTAATTACAAGACACTCTTTTTTTGGAGCAAAGAGGTCTTTTTGCCATTTCTATCATAAATTGACAAGCGGGTCATGTTTAAACGAGAATAGAAATATCTTCCCCCCATACAAACTTTTTGAAACTCGTTGTATAAACACTTTATTAAATGTACTACTGTTGTTTATGTATAAATGGAGAGTTATGATTGTAAGACACATCTTTTTGGAGGCAAAATAGGTCTTTTTACCAATTTTATTAAAAATTGACGACTGGGACAGGTTTAAACGATAGTAAGTATCTCTTCCACCTATCCAATATTTGTCAAACTCGTTGTGTTTACTTCCCATTATAAACACTTATACTTGTCTTTCTTGTACTAAGCGGATATATTTGTGAGACACTTATATTTTGGGGAGAACTGTGATTTTTTGGCAATTATTCACAGTTTTTATGATTAATCTGGCAACGCATAAATTATCAGCTGATTTTGCATCGATGCCTTTTTCGTAAACTCTCGCATCGCTCAATTGAAATCTGAGTTCTGGCAACAGTGATCGGGGCGTTCAAAAACGAGAGAGATGTCTGCTGAGAGATGTCTGCTAGGGTAACTTTGGTCAACGACGGCGAGGAGTCCAGCAATCCTCTCGCACATAACCATCCCTGCATGGGATTCGAACCTGCGAACCCACGCAGAGTAATTAGAGGTGCGATGGCGAGCGTATTCCTAACGCTTAGCCCGTTGAGCCACACCGCCGCGCCGGTTACGTCATAATTGTATTGTATGTCATATTGTATTTGTAATCAAGCCGTCCACCTTCAGTCAGTCAGTAGTTTATTTTTACCGAATGTAAACATTGACGAACAAAATTAAGAAAAATAAAAAATCGCATTTCAGTGTGAAAAGAGACGCGATAAACCAGAGATGGTTATCGAGCAGCGTGACCGCGCTGAATTGACTAGGCTAGTGCTTAATTTAGTTTAGGCTAACAGAAAAGTAAGTTTGGGCTATCTGCTTACAAATTCTATTTAATCATCTGTGCTAAATCCATAAAAATAATCTAGCCATTTGCATCTCCATGGCTCTGTGAGCACGAATTTTCTGCTCTGACTCAAATTAATATTTATATCTCACTTTTTGTATCTTGTTGATTAGCCAATTCTCACGAAGTGACATTGGAATACAGAAACAAGGAATGCTCGGGAAAGGTCCATTGTGCCGTTTATCTATTCTTGGCACTAATGTGGCTCGAGAACAATGCGAAAATAATTTTGTGACCCCTGACATTGATAAACTTGGATCACGCAGTGCTAAACAATACAATACTACCAATAAATATTATTAAAATATTATCTCTAAAATATCAGGCCTCTCTGTACGAAAAGTACCGCACCTACCGGTATCGGGCAGGATTGTATGCCCAACGAAGTAGGCATACCGTACGTTGTACACTCGTCACGCTCGTATACATCGCATACCGGTGTACATCAGCCGCAGGCCTAAACCGATTATATTCACTTGTTAATCATCTTGTATTGTTGAAAATATTAACCAGCTGTGTATGCATATGGCCTTCATCGCTTTCAAACATTGGTTGGGTCACATTTGGCTTGTGGCATCCTTGCAAATCCTATCCTTGTTGCTGTGTTGGGTCACCCTACAGATGCTGCAATGAATGCCATTACCGTACTAACCTTGAAAAGCGAAGCCACTAGGGCTGTAGGGTCAGACTTGACGTTCATCCTGTTTTTATTGCTACGAATGATCTGATGTCTTTTCGGTTTCTAACATCTCTGGTGCGGTACAGTACCGGTACCGTACCTCACCACCAGTGTATTTCAAATAGCCTAGTTTGTTCTGAAGTAAAGAAGCATTTGGGAAAAGCGTTTGTTTTGAAAAGAAAATGAAAACTGAGGAAAGTTTAAATATATTTTCTTGTGATTTCAGATTCTAAACACTTTTTCATAGTTTGGCTCAGATAAGAATAACAAATTTTAAAAGGTATTATTTATGAACGGTAATGTATTATGATTAAATCAAGGATCTTCGCGAGGCGATTTTTTCATACTGCCAGATGCAAAAAGGTAGACTTCCTTCGCAAATCTTGCAATGTGCGGACACTGCAACAGTGTAGTCAGATAAAATCTAAAATACTGTTCGTCAGACATTTTCATAACAGTCGAAACTCATGGATGCCTGTCGTTTCATTCAATTTATCCGATATTGGTGAAGGAATAAAAGAAGTTGAACTAACAGAATGGTTTGTTCAAGAAGGAGATGAAGTTGCTCAATTTGACAGCATTTGTGAGGTGATGCTTTTATAATAACTTCAGCTGAATATGCCTACTTGATGCATATATGTATATTTTTACACTTCATTAATTTGATAAATTTACACTGATTACAGGATTATTCGTCTTATAGCTTATAATAAAGTGTGCCTAGTAAGAGTGACATATGCAAAAATTATTGAACCACCCCACTAGAAGTACTTGTGGTACTATACCAGATCCGGAAGAATTGAAGGCTACCGATATATCGGACATTTTTTCGGTATTGGCATAAATGAGACCGATATGTTCAGCTCTTTGATCTGATCTAGAATGTTTTGAAGTATAAGTAAGAATACATATATTGATAACTGAAATGTGCAAAAAAAAAGGTCGATAACCATGGATCTAAAATTTGTTTATTACTCACTAAACAACGAAGATTCTATAGGCTATATAGCTGCAATTTTAACAATTTATTTATTTCGTTTCTAAGGTGAAGAGTGATAAAGCTTCAGTGACGATTACCAGCAGATTTGATGGCGTTATCAAAAAACTCCATCATGAAGTTGACGATATAGTATTAGTTGGGCAAGCCCTCGTTGATATTGAGACTTCTGGATCATTAGATGATGATAACCAAGATGAAGAAGAAGGTATTTAAACAGTCATAAAATCATTTACAGTCATTCTCATAACCCAGACAAAGATTGCTTGATCTATTAATTTATTTCACTTACAAACCAAGTTAGGAAGCTGTTTCAAATAATTATTTTTTTTGAGGTTTGTCTATATCCAAGAATTATTTTTCAGTATTTATATTTCTGATATTCATAATGATTTCCACAATCGTTGTGAGGCTACTCCAAACACAAATCTTCATTTCCTTTCCATGTGTCACACCTAATCTGGAATTTGGGTTTGCTTTGTTGTGTTTGCAAATTATGATTACCGATGAATGTTCATAACCGAGTGGCTTTTTTTATTTTTGTTGCTTCTATATAAGATTGTTGGGTCAACTTGGCATTGGAGCATATTTCAAGTCAGAAGTATTTTGTGATTTATTTGGTTTATCCAGGTTCATGTTCTATTGTTTACATAAATTTCTGCACTGATTATTTTAGTATCAGAAGAAGTTATTGTTGATAGAGATGATGAAGAAAATATAAATTTAACTACAAAGAAAGCGCTTGCATCCCCTGCTGTCAGAAGTCTTGCAAAGAAGAACAGTTTAGACATATCTACAATACAGGTACATATTTTTTTTAAAAGTGGAAAGTTTTTTAATTGTGGTATGTTAATTTGCAACTCAGATGTATCATCGAATATTGCTCAAAACCAGGATTATATCTATTAGACTTTTCGACTGAAGTCACTTTTTTCTCAACCTGTCAATTATGTAGTTTAAAAGGAGGAGATCACTAAAAAATTTTCCAGCTGTCAGTTTATTCTGCTTGTGATGTGTTTATTCATAATCATTACAGTATGCTGGTTTATTTAACATACTACTTTTTCACAGTACCTATTTGAATCAATTGACATGAAGTATTAATTATAGTACAAGGCCAACCAAATTAAGCAATCTAAGTGGAACACAATCTGAGGAAAGAACAAAACAGTTAAATCATGCAATGAAATGTATTGTAACGTTCAGTACCCTAAGAAAGTTATCTTTTTGGCATTATTATTAATAATAACAACAAGCTGGTTTTACAACCTAATGCAGTTCGAATCTTGTTTTTCGACTTATGTATATTGTATCAGGTTATATACTTTGGTCATAATGATATTATAATCTTAAAATATAGCTCTTGCCTGAATATACCTGACTGCTAATGTGAAATAAACTACATTATATTCATCTATTATACAGTAATAAGAGGAATTTTTATTTGTAAATGAATAATTTTTAATATTTCAGGGTTCTGGACCTGATGGTAGAGTATTGAAAGAGGATATTCTTAATTTGATAAAAGGATCAGATTCAAAGCCTGCTCATAAGCCCACTATTTCTCCACCTGTCCCTGTATCTGCATCTATCCCAGCAGAAGACAAAATTGAGCCAATTAAAGGAATACGAAAGGTTAGCTATTCCATTCGTAATTAGGTATTTTATTTGTCTTGCATACTTGAAATAACGTGGAGTATGAGTTTTAGTGAATCAATTTGAATCAATTGTTTTCATAGGTTATGTTGGTAAACATGACGGAAGCAAACAAAATCCCACATTTTGGGTATAATGACGAATATGATCTATCAAATCTTGTTTCTGTGAGAAAAGATCTTAAACATGAAGCGAAGAAACATGATATAAAATTATCTTATTTACCTTTCATACTCAAAGCTGTCTCTATGTCATTAAGCCAATATCCAATTCTCAATTCCAGTATCAGTGATGATATGGAAAATATTATCTATAAGGTAAGTGTAGTTTTCTGCATGAATTACCATTTGCAACTAATCTCGTGAAGTTTTATCCATCTGAAATGTGATCAAATAGTTATGTTCTCTGTGATTCTGCCTTCATTAAATCTTTTTTACTCCCGAAGTATGTGAACCAAAATGGCGAACATCGGAACGTATTATGTATACCAGGTTAGTTTTAGGCCATAATTTCAGGTACAAATACGAGAGTCACTTGGCTAGTCCCCGAACAAAAATTATGACCTAACCCTAACCTGGTACACATACTACGTTCCGCAGTCGGCCATCTTGGTTCACATACTTCGGGAGTATCAAATCTTTTTCATGATAGGATATGATACAAGCTTGTGCGAATAGTTTTTTTTACATTTTGCACATAATTAGGACTTCAATTTGAGATTAATATCATAATTTACAATGAAAATTGGCTCATCATCAGGGAACAATCCTTTTTCTTAGTCAGTAGTTGTGCCTTTCATGATACATCCTCATGGTTACTTGGATTGTCTTGACTATACCAACTCAAAATATAGTGACCTTGAAATATTCGAACATGCGCCTCTACTTGTGTCTACATGTGCCAAATAGCTTGAAATAATATTCCTGACAATTCTTGCTTTCAGTCAAGTCACAACATCGGTATTGCAGTGGATTCACCACACGGTCTTTTACTTCCATGCATTAAAGATGTTCAGAACAAATCCATACTTGAAGTTGCACATGAAGTGATACGATTACAGAATGCCGGACTCGATAATAAACTTCACCCCAATGATCTTTCAGGAGGCACTTTTAGTATTTCTAACATTGGATCAGTGAGTTTTCATAATAACTGTGGACAATGTTGACATACTTTTGGTTTTGATTTCAGTTAGTCGTAATGAAGCATTCTTAAATTTAATTCTAATTTCAGATCGGAGGTACATATGCTCATCCAGTTATTTTTCCTCCACAAGTTGCAATTGGAGCGCTTGGAAAAATTCAGGTACTTTTGGTATCTAAATTAAAGATTTTGATTTTTTATATGCTTCATTTTTTCCATCGTCACATTTGTATTAAAGCTTTTGGATTAGGTACGCATTTCTGCTTTTAAAAGTTTGGTGACTGTTGCCTTCCAAGTTATTTTAAAATTGTGAAGAAAAAAATGATGTGAGCAGAGTGAAAATAAGAGCAGTTTTCCCGTAGTATGTGAACCAGGATGGCCTACACCGGAATGTGTACCAGGTTAGGGTTAGGCCATAATTTCAGGTACAAATACTATGGGAGTCATTTGGCTAGTCTCTGAACTCGTTAACGGAACTAAAATAAGGGAAAATGGAATAAAATTATGGCCTTCCCCAACCTGGTATGTAATAAAGTTGTCAACTATAGACTTCATAACAAATTTGATGAAGCACTGTATTCTCAGAATGTCTTTTTGATAGATATTCATATTATGCTTTCATTTATCAATAATTTTATTTTATTTCCAGGTTTTACCAAGGTACGATCGTGAAGGTGATCTAAAGAAAGCTCACATAATGTGTGTGAGTTGGTCAGCAGATCATAGAATTATTGAAGGAGCTACAATGTCAAGATTTTCGAATAATATTAAGTATTTATTGGAAGACCCATCTCGAATGGTATTTTACCTAAAGTAGCAAATATTCTAGCCATCGATGCTTTTATGTAGATAGTTTGATACAGTGGTTCTCAAATTTTTTAAGCCGCACCCTCTTTATAGAATTTGTCAAGTCTCGCACCCCACCTTTAAAAAAAACAGCTAACAATAAGCTACAAATAACAGATAGTAAGGCGAAAGTATGTTTTATTCAAAAAACACGTTGAAAGACGTGGATGGAATGTAAATATTCAAAGTAAACAAAATGTAGATATCCCAAGTAAGGCGATTAAAATCTTAAAGTCCCTTCCTTGTGGGAGTGTGCCCCACTGTTTGAGAACCACTGGTCCAATAGAATTTTCTCGGTGCTCCCGAAGTATGCGAACCAAGATGGCGGACATCGGAACGTAACATGGGTAACAAGTTAGGGTTAGGCGATAATTTTTTTCTAATTTTCCTTATTTTAGTCCTATTATCAGTTCGAAGACTAGCCAAGAGCCTCCTGTAGTATTTATAGCTAAAATTATGGCCTAACCCTAACCTAGTACACATATTACATTCCGATGTCCGCCATCTTGGTTCGCATACTTCGGGAGCCCCATTTTCTCTTATCATTACATATTTTAGGATATCTTGAAATAAAGACTTACAAACATATTGTAAAATTGGTTATTGACTCAAAAAATGACTCAATTTTAAAACAAAATTTAGCTCTTGCTCCACACCATCATGTTACCTATTTATTCTGAGACGTACTTTGCGTTGTTTTTCATAATCATGATTCTTTCATGCTGAGCGCTATGTTTGCTAGAGTAATTAGTTTCAGTCACCTGAAATTGATCCCTATCCCACACTCGATCATGTCTCAAATGATTCTATATATAGTGCTAATGTAAAAGTACAACAGGTTATAGTTTTGATTTTTAGTTTTGATGTTACATACAGGTATGTGAACATTTGGAATCTTGGATTCGTTTTAAGTATATGAGAAATTAATTATGTTTCGTAGAAGGGACTGAATATTTTTCCTTCTAATTTTTGTGATTCGTACTAGCTATTTTTAACTACAATCAAAATTGACTTAGTTGCTCTGTTTTTCTTATCTGAAATTTGTGTATTAGATGCCTGCTTTGCCTTTATTGCCAATATTGCATCCTGTTACACAACTTCATCAAACTGCTTTGTCAGTCGAATATATGGTGTTCATTCTTAATTCACAAATTTTTTAACAGCCAATTATGTTGTGTCTGTTGTTTTGTCTCGAGTCTCTTGACCTTGCATAAGCTCTCAATTTTGATCAAAATTTGGATTCAGCTATCTGTGTACATTCAATCTAAGATTCTGAAAATATTGTCATATAATTTTAGTTTTCAATGTCAGCCACACTTTGATTTGATACACTGAAATCTCGAAAAAGAACCGGATACTGTAGTGTAGTGGCTATACTGCATGGATCTTTAGAAAGTCTAGATTCAGATCGCTGAGTCCAGTGTCTCCCAACCTAGGGAAGGGATGGGACTTATAGGACCCACCATATGCGCCAATGCTTCGTCGAACTGGCTATCAGCAGTTATTGCGATTCAGATTATCAGGGCTTGTGTGGTCTTCTGGACTCTGTAAAATTTCTCGCCGCAACCAGCCAAAAACAAGAAATCCAAACGGACTACAGACCAGGTGGATTTTGGAGCTTTAAGGGCTACATTCTAGACACCCAAACCCCCGATTGCAGCCACAGTGAATGAATAGCTGAGTCTGGTAACTGATAAATGGGTTTCATTAGACAACGGATGCTTGTTTCCAGCTGTTTGAGGTCGCGCAGAAGGAACTAACAAATTTGTAGAAGAGTCGTGGTGCAACAAATTTCAAAATTGCTTGTGCGAAGCCCTCGCCACTGAATGCAAAATTGTGAGATTTAAGAAAAATAGCCCCGCCATTAATTAACAACTTTGTAATTATCCACTTCGGGTTAAGAATGATTTGAAAATCCAGCACAATCTGCATTACTAACCCCTAGCTGTATAGTTTAGAGATGTATCGGGTATCGGCCATGTATCGGTATCGGTTGGATTAAGGCCGATATTTCCGATATATTAACTTTTTTGATATGGTCCAGAATGTTCTGAAAGATAAGTTGAAATACTACTTTTTAATTTATTTTTTGTCCAAAGAGATCGTGAGCTATGAGCCATACATGTCCCCACCCCCGCGAGGGAATAGGATTCACCTGTTTTTAGCTATTTATCAGCCAAACTAGCTCAACTAATTTGGCTGTTTTTGCTGTTAAATTTTTATATTGACATTTTTAATATTACATAGTAATTATGAAGAAATATATCAACACAGCACATAATAAAAAGCAACCAGGCGCCCAGTTTTAAATCATATACAGTGGTATTGGAGACCTTGTTAACGCCACATGCACTTTGGGCACGGCCATAAATTCTGACTGTTTGTCGTCATATCAAGTATGAGTGTCATTTAGTCCGTCGACATCGATAAACTAAATTCCGACACAATTATCCCTCTACACAGGTATTAATTTTGTTTAACTACACAATTTCTTTATAGATATATTGACATGACCGCCTAGAGCCCTAGACTGTCTCAAAATATATGATAGCAATTGTAAAAAAATAGAAAATAGTAAAAAAAACATCCTTGACAGTTATAGGTAGGTAGGCCTTCTTTTTGTCGGTGCTGATTGATATTCTTTCTTTCATGTTGGCTTTGATTTATTGCGGCGACGATTATGATCAACCACAAAATAAAATATTTGTAAAATGCTTTTAATTTGAACGTAGGACGGCGGTGTTAGAATGTGTGGGCGATATTCGATATTCTTTCAAACACGAATAACGATGTTCGAAGGTCGCGATATTAACATTAACTTCGAATTGGATATCCCGGCTTATGAGTTTTCTAATTGAACACCGAGATTACTAGCGTCACTGTACAATGCATCTTAATCAGCATCTAGATAGCAAACATCAATTTCATATTATGTGATATATCTTTTTTTTCGAATTTAATCTGAAATAATGTGTAGCCTACTATGAACAACGCTCAAGGACCATTGTTTTAACCCTTCTGCCCTACACAGCACACTTAATTAACTAATAATTACATAGTATCGGTATCGGAATATCGGCATTTTTGTAGTATCGGCGTATCGGTATCGATATCGGCGTTTTTAGCTGGTATAGGATCGGTATCGGTATCGGCGACAAAAGTGGTATCGGTACATCTCTAGTATAGTTACCAATTTTCTTATTTTGATCGTTGGAGGGGGGGGGGGGGGAGATTCGTACGAAATATCCAAAAACTCTATGGTGGAAGAAAATTTGTTAAAGCTCAAGTATAAAGTCAAAATTTTGTGGTATTTGCTCTTTGTCTGATGTTGTGCCCCTTGTTGGCGTAAACTTTGATTTCCCGTCTTAGTTGGTGAAAGTGCTCTCAGTTAAGTTCTCTTTGGTTCAGCTCCGACCGGACTCTGTGGTGGTTAGAATATTTTCGGTATCGAGAAACTGCACGAGTTCGCAAAATCAAAACGGAAGACAGTCGTCCCGCTTGATAGGATTAAACTGTGTTTCCGTGAATAAAAATTGAACAGCGGAATTTTAGGTGAAATATCAAATCCCACAGGATTAATAGTAAATTCAGCGACAACAATATCTTTAACCACTAAACATTGACCATGTAGTCAAATTTCGTGTCCAATAACGTAATCGAAGTTTAGACGAGAATATCGGTCGGAGACCGAAGACTTATCGATCGAAAGTTAGGGGACCCCCAAAACAGAAACTGCGGTTTCGATTCATCTGCTCTTACTCCATAGTGACAATGTGTGTCCATCACTAATTAATTAACAACTCGCTAATTATACGACATAATTCATCCAAAATCGATAGGCTTCTGGTCCGAGATATGATGAATGTACATGCTAAATTTGGAGCAGATTCAACCTCGCTCTCGTGAGATATCGCGTGTATCTAACGGACAAACAGACAGACAAACAAACAAATACCTATCAACATACTTACCGATCAAGATCGATAAGTAACAAACGCTATACAATCAAATAAACAATAGGCCTATATCGGCTCAATGAGCCCAGCTATCTCAACTAACGCGATGGATGAGCGTGCTTTTCAGCTAGCGACAAGCTCATTAATACGAGGGGAAACATAAGCGACAGCCCAACGAAAATGATGTTCAGGGGTTTTCGAGCTTTGATCTGTATTTCGATTTGATTCCAAGAAGCACCGAAAATGTCGAGTTCATCATGTTGATGGAAACTCAACAAACCGCAAATATCTCCCCTCCGCAACTGAAGTTTCGACAGAAATGCTTTGACTTTAGGTATGAACTCCACACTGTTGGGTCTCTTTCTTGGAGACTCTTGTTTAGCATATTCTAAGCATCAAAAATATCAACAAAGTAGGCAAAATAAAAGTAAAAAGTTACTCAAGAAACAGACAAAATTTGTTTCATCAAAGTTAGTAACAACGGATTCCGTCGTTCCAGAAGACTATGCCGTACTTATAGCTTTACCTATATGCCAGGGGTGGGCACAATTTTTCAGTATAAGAGCCGCATGCTGCAAGTCAGAACTTTAAAAGAGCCGCAAAATTTGTGAATTTATTAATATTATTGAAATACCATGGACAGAAAAAAAATTCACACAAGAGTCTAATAACAATAAATAGATAAACAAGGCAGCTATACTCAAATATAGGCACAATTTGAGCTCATTTAATTTGTGTTTCCTTATAGCTGATTTACGAGGGTAGTCTCGTAAAAGGTTTTCATGATTCGTTTCATGGTGCCATTTAACATTGCTGACTTTATTCTGACTTAGTAGCTTATGACAGATTGAGCACAAAGGTTTATTCTCCTGACTGGTAAATGCGTATTCTTCTTCCCATTCTGACTTGACAACTCTGTTTTCATCTTCGTACTTTCGTTTTTTAATTGAGGACTTATCGCACAGTAACTTAGACCAGTGCTCTTCAATCGGGTATACGGTATACCCAAGTGTATACCAGACCATAAGTTGGGTATATAACTGATAAAGGGTATACGAAAAGTGTACAGCCTAAATCAGGAAATCTAAACTCTAATCAATTCAATTCAAAAGAATTGAATAGAATAGCCATTTACACTCTTGCTACAGCATCCTTGCGTAATACGCATACGGATCCACCTGCGCAAAGGCATAGAGAGCAAGGAAAGGTAGTTAGTATCACGCAACCTCAACTGTTAGTCTAAACTCTAATATATACAATAAATTATAAAATATTCAATTGGAGACAACAATGCAAACGCGGTGCACATGAAATATAAAATGTTATTAACGATAAGAACCGACGTGAGCACGTTGTTACATCACAAATTATATAGATAATACGGTCATGTGTCTGGGTTGGTGATTTTGGCTGCCATGCACTTTGTTTGATTTACGTCGAATATTATTCCCGTCCACGCTAAGGCAGTCAGTCAAATTTATAACTTGCGGTCACTAGCCTATTAAATCAGGGGTGTCAAACTTGCGGCCCGCGGGCCGCATGCGGCCCCAGAGAACTTCCAATGCGGCCCTCGAACGCTTGACAATAATTGTAATATTTTTTAAGTTTTTTTTTTATCTAAATGTAATACATATTTAAAACTTTTAAGAGTGAAATTGATTATTCAAACAGAAAATGACAATTTACTGAAAGTAGATTTGGAAAATTTAAATATTTTTTGTTTCCAATTTGACCCAATTATGAATACACCTCAAGCTAACAAAAGAATACTTGAAAAAAAAAACTTAAATGAAACGCAAAGTACATGAAGAAGGTGGCATTTTTGGAGAAAAATGGGAGTTGCAATATTTCTGCATTTCTCAAAATTCTAAAGCACATTGTTTAATTTGTCACATTTCCATCAGTACAATGAAAGAATATTATACAAGTAGACATTATTAGAATAAGCTCAGCAGTCAATATAACAAATTTAATAATCAATTTCGAACAGAAAATTTGTATGTGTTTATATTTTATTATAATTATACAACTACCTAGATACTAAAACTCAATATCAATCATAACTCAAGTGTTCCTATGCCATATAATAGTAGGAAATGTCACGAAATGTGGCGGTAAATATCTGGTCCGAAAAGTCAGTCATTTGTTTGTTTACTGATCTATACATTGAATGATGAACGTAATATGTTTGCGTTACTCAAATTAATCAAACATTCTCAACGATACAGATTAACCGATGATCATGTGAACTCGTTAATTAGAGTTGGTACTGAAAAATTCTTTCAGCCTAATATTCATAAGTTAATGGTACAAAAGAGATGCCAAACGTCAGGACATATGTAAAACATTGAGTTTATTCTGTAGCATTTTTATAAATTTTAGGTCTAAATATTTAGATTAAGTCATTTTAGTGTATGTATTATTCTTTCCCTATCAAAACTTTATTCAAAAAGGTTTTGGATAGTTGTACATAAAAATTTATGATTTTTGTAATAAATAAAGTAAATCGCAATAATAGTGAAATGCAAAAATTAATATGTAAATCGCATTGGAAATTTAAGAAAATAACAAAACTTCACTCAGCTGTTCAATTACATCGCAATATTTGTCACAAACTAAACCTATTTGCCTAAAGTATGCATTATCAAAATATATAAAAAACTGTTTGCGGCCCTTTGGGCAATTCCCAAAACGCAATGCAGCCCTCGAAGACTCACGAGTTTGACACCTCTGTATTAGATTGTATGATGGTATTGCAGTACAATATGTGCCTAAATTTTATTGTTTATTTGAGCCTTAAATAAACATTGGTATTTGTGAAGGTATACAAAGTTTTTGAAAAACTGTAAAAGATATACTTCGATAAAAAAGGTTGAAGAACACTGACTAAGACTAACTAACCGCAATCAAGCTGCAATACCGTCGACGCATCAATAAATATTGACCATTGTGACGAAAGATTTGCTGACTTGACTGACTTAAATTCGAAATTCAACGCTACAGCGATTTTCATACCAAAACATAATTTGTCTTAATCATTGACGAAAACTTCTTTAATAAATTAAAAGAGTTTACATTATAGTTTTTCTCTTAGTTAAAATTTGGATAATAATTTATGTTAGCGAGAAGAGCCGCACAAAAAGTCTGGCGAGACGCATGCGGCTCGCGAGCCGCGGTGTGCCCACCCCTGCTATATGCCATATAGATTCATTAATTACGACATCCAGTGCATAGCTTTCGAAACGCCAATTATAACACTATTCGACATTTCAATAACTGGTTTACAAATGTAGCCTACTACAAACAACAGTCGTATATGATAAATAGCAGTATAACGATGTAAAACTCATTTCGGTGGTTTATACTTAAACATATGCTAACAATTACGCCATGTAGAAACAAGTGACAAATAAATATGTCATCGTACTCAGGGATTATAAAAAAACACGAAACGACTTCGACTTAAGACGTCCATTCCTCGGCTGCGAAGGAATATGTACATCACAGAAACAGTTGCAAAAAGTCAGATATTTATTTTCGTTATGCAAAACCAATATACGAAAGGAAATAAGTTGAAAGTACATAACAGATTGCAAAAACGGATATCGGCTTGTTTCAGTACAAGAGAGGTCGCGAAAGACTCAGAGTCATCCAGTCAACGACACCTTGTAGCTGCATTGAAGAATCAAATATATCAACCGAACAACTCAATATTAAACATTTACTAAATTCGACACAATCATATAAAAAGGGACAACAAAAAGAATACTAAATAAACTGCAAATGCCACAATGCCTGTGGAATATTACCTAAACATTCACTTAATTTGACTCATTATACAAAAAAGAACAACAAAGTTCAAAATAAAATACAGGATGCCATGAGCCCATGATGACTATGGGATATTAGACATTTACCTAATTAAAGTCAGTCATACAAAGTAAGAACAATATGAAATTCGAAATAAACCGCGCAATGCCACAATGATTATGGCGTATTAGATGGCTCAACAGCAACACTTGTAAACAGGATATATTATTGTCCCAAAGCTGACCCCACACCCCAGGTCAAGCATGGTTTAAGTTAAGGAATGGAATTCTGTCTCAAGCTAAAATATTTGGGTTTGAATATGACCGCGTGTACAAATATCGATGGGTGCAAATGTCCCAGAGTGCATATGAACCGGTACAAATATTCTTGGGTGTGAATGCCAATGTGTAAAACCAAATGTGGTTGCAAATATCTATGTGTGCGAATTCCGTTAGGTATGAATGTTTTTTAGTAGTAAAAGTTTTCATAGGTGCAAATGCTCGTGAGTGCAATCTGTATGCGAATGCTAAAATCTGTGGGGAAATTGTAACGGTGAAATATCCATATCTGCAAAAGCTTGCAGGTTCAAATTTATTGGATGCAAAGATAAGGGAAATTACTCAAATATTTGTTTACGGCTAATTTTGGAACGTAGCGATCGTGCATTGACGTAATGCTGATATGTCACGCCACCCTGGCAGTCGCATGGAAATTGCACCATCTGTGGAGTGATCTCAAAATAGACGATGAATAAACAACGCTGAAAGGAGTTGCTTGATCCGATTATGGCGAAAAATAGCAAATCCAAAGTATATTAGGAATCCTGCTGTTAGAAAGCATTTATTCTGACATTTCATCTCTCAGTGAATGAACGACTCAGTAAACTATGAAGCTTCTTATTCTCGCCGCTCTTGTGAGCGTTTGCGGTATGTATATTGTTTGAAATATTTAGTTTAGAGCAGCGTTTCTCAAACGTTTGTGTTCTACGAGCTCTTTGGAGCGTTCCGTGGAACAGGGATCAGAATTGCGACTAAATTGGTCGCCATGCCGATCTCGGTCGTACGTCGGCGACTCCGGGCGGGAAACTTGTCTTCCTACTGGCGAAATACAGACGGACAAGCCTTGTTACCTAAACAGGCGGATAGCCTTCGTGCCAGTTTGGAAAGCATGGAGTTTTCGTCAACCGTTCAATATTATTAATCGTTGATCTTATTTTTATTTGTTAAGTTTACAGCAAACTTTTAATCTACCATGGGTGAATTTGTTGCAAACCACCCATCTTACCTTCTAATTTCATGGTGTTCCGCTAAGCGAGATAAAAAGCGTAGACGTTCCGGGGCTAAAAAAAAATTGAGAAACTTTGGTCTAAAATAAAAAATAAAATTGTAATAAGCAGGAGCAAGAGATCTCACCCAAATGTTTGAAGTAAAATACCTTATGTCAAATATTTTCCATAACTTTCAATAACATTGTATACATTCGATTATACCTTAAAATTTTACTTTGAATAATTATATTGGCAAATTGTTGGTGAACTCATCACAATGTGTAAACTTATTTTCTTCTTTAACAAGCGACGCTTCCAAAATCTATTTTTCAAATATTTACAATCATGACTAGGCTTACCATACGTCCCGTTTTAGGCGGGACAGTCCCTCTTTTTAAACTTAATGTCCCGGTGTCTCGACCGGCCAGCCAGAAGTCCCGATTTGGCGTTCAGCCAGTCAGCATAATACAATAATAATACCAATTGTCATGTTCTCGATACTGTAGTTGCTGTGTAGCGTAACAGTAGCCTACCTACTGAACGCGGATGCGTGGTTTTATCTGTTTCGTTGTTTTCCGCTAACATATTTGCTACGATTTGTCACGTGTAAGCCCCGTACGCCAAAAGGTTGCTTAACGTTAACGTAAATTTATTTCTATTTTTCAAACTAAAACCGACATTTAGACAGACAGCGCATGAATTCTCGATGACAATATGGTCAAGGAAGACAACCGGGATGGTTTTAAATGTAGACCTCTAATGTAAAATCGGTAAATTTAAAGAAGAAAAAATCACAGCTATGGTCTTTGGAGGCGTCCCGTTTTAAGGTCACAAAAATATGGTAACCCACATCATGACACATGTCGTGCTTTCCTATTTCAATGCGCACGATGCCTATTCATTGTGTTTCAAATACATATACTAACAATATACAATTGTTTTAGCTGCTGACAAAATAGTTGGAGGTGACGAAGCAGCGAAGGACCAATTTCCTTTCATCGTTCATTTGGACTCAAAAACAGTTCAAGCATTCTGTGACGGCTCCATCATCGATGAATATTGGATCATAAGTGCTGCTCATTGCTACCAAAGCGGGTATATAATGATATCATTTGCAAATAAAAAAATTAAATATATCGGTTTCCTGCAGTGTAGTGTAGGGCTTCCTAATATTTTTGTCATGGCATCACTTTTACTATCATAAAATTGGTTCATAACCTTGTTTATAATAATGAAGCAAAAGTCGTAATTTTTAAATAAAACCTTACATAAGTGAACATGAATCAAAAGCGACTCTCGATCAAAACTGTCTCTCCACCATTTTAAATCTATCCGATGGGAGATTTTGCCCCAAAGTTACATTCGAGAGATGTCATTGTAATTATGCGAGAAGAAACATAAGATTAATACGCAAATAATATGAACACTTATTTTGCAATTTAAGCTAATTTCCAACCAAATGTTATACCAATTGCGTTAGGTGTCTTATGAAAAATGAAGGAATAGTACCGTCATACCTTGTGTACCGTACCGTGTGTAAATTGTACTTAAAATTGAAATCAACAATTTTTGAAAATCTTTAAACACTGAAAATCTGAAATATTTTGGCCTCAGTTGCGAGAAAAGCAATTGTTCACAACCCCATAAACCAACAACAATCTACCAACCGATTCATAGGTTAACTCCGCGTCCAATAAATTATTTCGTACTGTTTTTGACGCCATGTCTATATTTTAATACTTCGTACTAGAGATGTATCGGTATCGGCAATATCGGCCAATTTTTCGGTATCGGTAGTATATCGGTATCGGCTAAATTTAGACCGATATTTCCAATATATTTAGCTTTTCAATATGATCCAGATTTTTTTTTAAATTATGTTAGAATACTGATCTTGAAATTATTTTTTCTTGGATAGATCGTGAACTGTGAGCCATGCACGTCCCCACCCCCGATAATAGAAACGGGAATCGTATTCTGTGCTGTTTCTAGCCATTTATCAGCTAAACTGGCTCAATCAATTTGAGTATTTTCGCTGCCAAATTTTTAATATTACATGGTAATTATGGAAAAATATATCAATCGAATATTAGTTATGTTATAGTTATGTTATATTATTAATACAATTGGATCCCAAACATCTACTTCTTAATAAATATATATGTGTGTGATATTTCTTTTTTTATACGGAAATAATGTGCACTTTTAATAATGCTCAAAGACTATTGTTTTAAACCGTCTGTCTTGCACACTTGAGGTAATAATTACATAGTATCGGAATATCGGCAATATTGTTCGTTTTCGAATATCGGTGCATCGGTATAGGCGTTTTCTAGATGGTATCGGCATCGGCGACAAAAGTGGTATCGGTACATCTCTACTTCGTACCTTCATTCGTACCCCTGGTCACCTGCTACTCTAAAAGATGTTTTCATTCGATATACAGGATTATGAGATTTAGTTTTTATGCACTTTTATTCAAATAAACAATTTATTACATACATATGGGCATTAGTTAGTGACAATATTGTTACCATTCTTTTGAGTTGACTTTGTAATCTATGATAACACCCACGGATATATACAACTCGGTGTGAAAGAAATTGGACAAAACTTGACGTTGATATTATCGTAATCCAATATGTTTTTAATTTTTATTCTTGAAAACATTATCGAGTATGAATTATTATGTAAAGATTGTTTCCAGATTGGTTGGTACTGACAATGCGACATTATTGTTTGCCTTGAGAGCCTAACCTACGACTTGGCACCTGCGGATAGATATAACGCAAGTCGGTTTAGAAAACGAGCGATTGATGTTTTTAATTGATGGTGTTATTTTTGGTTTTAATTGGTTCGATTTCGTATCATTTTAGGAACAGCAACAAGGCTGTTGCAGGTGACTTCTATTTACAAGCGGATGATTCTAGTACAGACGGTTCACAGAACAGATTAATCGAAAAATTTATTAAACATGGAGCTTATAATTCAAGAACGTTGGAAAACGACATCATGTTGATTAGACTTGTGGTTAGTATTAACTGGTTCAGGCTCTCAATTTCGCTTTTATGCAAGTTTTGATTCTGAATTCAGTTACCAATCTTGTTTAATTAAAAAATATTCATTTTAAACCCCGACCTCAGTTTTGTTATCCACTGAACTATTTTTTTTTGTTACTCTTAAAAACTTTGACTAAGAACTGTCGAATGACATTAAGACCGACAAGCATTATCGATTAAAATGACTTTGAGATATGTATGTGACTAATCACGACACTCGTATTATATTCACTATGGTGAATAGTGAATTCGAACGCAATATAGAGTTAGATGTCATATATACATATTTTTATGGAAAGTTTCGAATGTGAAATCTTGATTCAAATAAGCAATAACCAAACAACAAGTAAGAGACGTGGATACGTCGCATACATGCCCTATTCAATATAAATTTCAATCAAAACGCAATCTAGTGTGCATTATATTTTTTAATATCTCTGTTTCTCCGATAATAATCACAAAAGAGGGACGTTTAGTGCAATTTCTGTTCAGGAACCATTTACAATGGGAGCCTTCATTTCGCCTATAGCTTTACCCACAGAAACTCCACCAGCGGGAACCGAAACAGATATATCTGGCTGGGGAAATACACTATCGAGCGGAAGTAAGAGTATATGAGATAAAACTTCAATATATAAACAATATTCGAAAATCCCATCTTCATGGTTTTTGTTTAAAACCATTTGATTGTCGTCACATTAATCAAGACATTGGCGGACGTAAATAAAGTGAAACCGCAAATAAAGTGAAACAATCGATTCATAATTCTTGATTTCATTTACTTATTTATCCAGCCAACTATCCCGACGAGCTGAGATTTGTGACTCTGCCAGTACTCTCAAGGATTACGTGCAACAAACCCAGCTCATACAATGGTGAGGTTCTTGAGTCGATGTTATGCATCGGAGACATGTCTGGAGGCCAAGATTCCTGCCAGGTGACACAATTGCTTCAGAATGAAATGGCAGCTTATTCAAGGATTTATTTTCAATAGCATCCACATTTTCAATCATTAGATTTGCTATATGACTGTTAAATGTATGCTTTTCGTAACAAAATAGGCCAGAGCTTTATCAATATAAGAAGTAGACTGTATTACAATATCGCCCAAAACCACTCGTTACTTAATACACTAATCGGATGCTTCTGCATCAAAAGACAATATTATTATTTCACTCGTTTGGGGCAATTCTGTCACAATAAAATTCATTTATATGCTCTAGGGCGATTCCGGCGGACCAGTAACGTTGATGAATTCTAACGTTCTCGTTGGAATCGTGTCTTGGGGATACGGATGCGCACAACCAAACTATCCGGGTATATACACAGATGTATATCACTATGTCGAAAGTGGATGGATTACTACAACAATGAACAACAATTGAGCTCGTGATTATTCGAATGAAGATCGATGCTTCACTAATTCGTATTAATTTTAAAATTAACCAATTGTGGTATTAACGATGTGCAAAATAAAGTTACAATTAATGAAACATGTACTTGTCATCTTTTGTTCTTGACGTTTCATGGTTTAAAAAATTATCAATAGGAAAATATTCAGGGGGAAATTTTTTTCTCTCACCCTAGACAAACATCCATTTCCTTGCTTAGCGCAGACGCCGGTTTTTGTATCACTACAAAAAAAGATGTTGTTTTCGATCATAATGTATTTTGTATCTATGCAACGGCACGTGGGCTACTAAAAGTCAATGCACACAGTCGAGCGACAACTGTGCAGTGGGCGTTTACCTTCCCGGTTGCTGAGAGGCAGCGACTGCAAATAATAATCAACTAAAAAGCAACTGACGTGCAGTGCAGCCTTTCCGGAGGAGAAAAGAGTGCGAAAATACTTTTGTCTCACACCATATGTGTGGTAGGAGTCCAGAGCCGACCAAAACTGCCAAATCGAGGGTTGGGAAAAAAGCATATCGAGAAATATAAAAAGATATTGCCACAGCACGAACACGGACATTAAAATCCGTGACAATATGTCCCGATACAAATATTCATGGATGTAAATGCTAATGTAAGAAACCAATCGTGGGTTCGAATATCTATGTGTGAAAATGTCCGTAGGTATGAATGTTTCTAGGGGTAAAAATGTTCAAATGTTAAAGTTGAGTGAAATCTGTATGGGAATGGTAAAATCTGATGGTAAACTGTAGGGGTGAAGTATCTATCTAGTACGAGGCTGGGCAATTATTTTTGCTATCGGGCCACATTGAATATTCAAAATGCAGTGGCGGGCCGGACTAAGTAAAGCCAATTGTGCGTTTTTAATGCATTTCATTACACATTTAAATAAAACAAAATACTCTTGTACTCCGTTATTTTCATTTAAAGCACAGTTATTAAAACTAGTTTAAAACATAAATATCGCGATTTCGCGAGATATATCGCGAGACAATACATAGGATCAGAGAAACGTCACGCTTGCAAAACAATGCCGAATTTTATCATTAATGCTAAAGAGTAACTATGCGAAATTAAGACCATGCCTCCGATGGCCAAACATTTGTGATTCATATAACTTTGTTGTCACCATAGCATTTTTAACGTAAACAGGGGTCGCGGAAAATTTTAATGCATTGGAAGGCGATGCGAGTTTAAAAGTTTGGAATGCACTGCTCCGAAATACAACGTCTATCCGCGTATATAAAAATGTGAAATAAACTGCCGGAATATACTTAATTTTGATACCTATTTTTGCGATATACGGGTATATTTAAAATGCATTGATATGGGCACATTAAAATGTCTTGCCTTGTCGTTTTAAACTTAACCCGCGATTACTTTGACAAAATATAATCATTACTACTCTTAAAAACCACCGCATGCCGCGGATATAAAAAAAAGTGAGATAAGTGCCAGATTACTTTTATTCGTGTTTTGCGATTTCGTGAAATCAACAAATGTAAGTTGTTCTCGCAACAATGACTTGGCTCTATTTTACAGATTTCACCAATAAAAAAATCCCTACGTCTGCGATAAAACCACACTGAGTAAAATTCAATTTAGTACCATGAAAATCGGTTGAATTTACTTTACTTTGTGCCATGGGCACCAGAAATTTTTCAGTTTGTAATGATTCGTTTTTCTCAATGGTTTCACAGTTCCGTATGTAAGACATATATATATATATATATATATGTTGAAGGAAATTTGTGATTTGAGTAGAATAATCACCGACGTAAAGGTGTTTACGCTCTAAATAACATCTCGAGCTGACGAAAACAATCGGTCATTTAAAAAAAAATAGTCGAATGGTATTGCCGACTTTTTCATTTTCCTAAAAAAAAATTTTGTTCACAGTTAATTTATAATTCATATTTTATATGTAAATAAAAAAGAAAGTGTCCACATCTAGGAACCTGCTCGCGGGCCGGATGAAACGTTGCCGCGGGCCGGATGTGGCCCGCGGGCCGCAACTTGCCCAGGCCTGACTATATCTACAAAAGCATGCCTGTTTAAATGTATTGGATGCAAAGATAAGGGAAATAAGCACTCAAATATTTGTTTACGGCTAATTTTGGAACTTAGTCGACGTGCGTTGGCGTAATGCTGATAAGTAACGCTACCTTGGTGATTGCATGAAAATTGCACCATCTGTTGAATGATCTCAGAATAGGCGATGGATTAAATACGCCAAAGGAGTTGCTTAATCCGAGTCTGTCGTTAGAAAACATTTATTCTCACATTTCATCTCTCAGTGAATGAACGACTCAGTAAACTATGAAACTACTTATTCTCACCGCTCTTGTGAGCGTTTGCGGTATGTATATTGTTTGAAATATTTAGTTTAGAACTGTGTTTGGGGGCCTAATTTTTTATTTGTCAAGTTTAGAGCAAACTTTTTAATTTTACCATAGGTGAATTTGTTGCAAACCACCCATCAATTTTACTTTCTAATTTCACGGTGTTCCACGGGGCGATATAAAAAGCATAAGCGTTCCGGGCCTAAAAAAGTTTGAGAAACACTGGTTTGAAGTAAAGTTGAAATTAGAATAAGCAGAGGCAAAAGATATTTTTCATAACTTCCAATCACATTATAAACACTCGATTATACCTTAAAATCTTACTTCATATATTTATATTAGCAAATTGTTGGTGAACTCATCACAATGTGTAAACTTTTTTTTTTCTTTAACAAGCGACGATCAATCAATCTTTTATTTGTCATCACAACAAACAAGCATATAGAACACTGTTACAACAAATAAAATACACTGATCGTGCTAATTGTGTGACCGCAGTCGCGAGGGACCTATAGAGTTCTTCAAGCAGCGACGAACACTTCCAAAATCTATTTTTTGAATAGTTACAATTAGGACACATGTCGCGCTTTCCTATGTCAATGCGCACAATGTTTATTCATTGTGTTTTAAATATATATATACTAACAATATATAACTGTTTCAGCTGCTGACAAAATAGTTGGAGGTGACGAAGCAGCGAGGGACCAATTTCTTTTCACCGTTCATTTGGACTCAAAAACAGTTCGAGCATTCTGTGACGGTTCCATCATCGTCGAATATTGGATCATAAGTGCTGCTCACTGATAAAACATTAAATAACTAGGTTTTCTGCGGTGCAGTGATCCCTAATATTTTTGTCATAGCACCACTTTTACAGTCATATAATTTTGTTTATCACCTTGTTTGCAATAATGCAGCAAACCATAACAAAATCGTAATTTTTAAATAAATCTATACCTAAGTAAACATGAATTAAAAGCGACTCTTGTTTTCAACTTGTTGTGTCCCCGCCATTATATATCTATCCGATAGTAGTTTTTGCCGCAAAGTTGCACAAATTGTCATTATTCGAAAAGAAATATAAGATTAATACGTAAATAAGATCAGCACGAATTTTGAAATTTTTAGCTGATTTCCAACCAAATGTTATCACAATTGCGTTAAGTGTCATGAAAAATGAAGGAACAGTATACCGCCATACCTTGTGTACCGTACCGTGTGTAAATTGTCCTTAAAATTGAAATCATAAAATTTGAACACTGAAAATTTGAAATAGTTGGGCCTCAGTTGCGAGAAAAGCAATTGTTCACAACCCCATAAACCAACAACAATTTACCAAACTATCCATAGGTTCACTTTGCGTCCAATAATTAATTTTGTACTTTGTGTTTTTTGACGCCATGTCTATAATATTTTGCTTCCCACCCCTGGTCATCTGCTATTGTAGAAGATGTTTTCATTCGATATACATGATTATGTGATATTACATACATTTGGGCATTAGTTTGTGACAATATTATTACGATTCTTTTGAGTTGACTTTGTAATCCACGACTATAACACCCGCGTATATATACAACTCGGTGTAAAAGAAATCCGACAAAACTTCATGTTGATACTATTGTAAACTAATATATATAAATATTTAATTTTCATTTTTTCAAAATATTATCGAGTATGATTTATTGTGTAAAGATTGTTTTCAGATTGGGACTGCCAATGCGACATTATTGTTCGCCTTGAGAGCCCAACCAATGACTGTGGATAGATATAACGCGACTCGGTTTAGAAAACGAGCGATTGATGTTTTTAATTTATGGTAAAATTTTTGTATTTCGTATCATTCTTATATTCAGGAATAGTCACGAAGCTGTTGCAGGCGACTTGTATTTACAAGGGAATTTTTCTAGTATACAGACGGTTTACAGACCAGATTGATCAAAAAATTTATCCAACATGAAGATTATAATTCAATAACGAAAGAAAACGAAATCATGTTGATTAGACTGGCGGTTGGGATTAACTGTATCACATTCACTCTGGTGAAATGAAAGTTGCAGAGTTTTAACGCAATAACAAATTAAGTGCCATATACATAATTTGGTACTCCTGAAGTATGCGTGAATACCTCGCCCAAATGCTTTATATATTATCAATCAAAAAACAAAATATAGTGTGCAATATATTTTTATTATTTCTGATAATAATCACAAAAGAGGGACGTTTATTACAATTTATTCTCAGGAACTATTTGCCAATAGCTTTTCCCACGAAATCTTCACCAGTGGGAACCAAAACAGATATATCTGGCTGGGGAAATACAGTATTGGTCGGAGTTAGTAAGTGTATATGAACCAAAACTTCGATATATATATATAAAGAATATATACGAAATGCCCGTTTTCATTGTTTTCGTTCAAAACTATTTGATTGTCGTAATATTAATCAAGACATCGGCGGAAGTATCCGCAAATAACGTGAAACAGTCGATCATTATTTCTTAATTTCATTTATTTTCATACTGGACTATTTGAGAACTAATTCACCAAAACAGTACTAGGCTTCAATAATCTTATCTAACAGTCCGACTTGATATCGTCCGCAAGACCCCAATACAAAATTTTGTATTATCTATCTGCATTGGTTCCCAACCTTTTCTTGTTAAATTTCTTCCTTTTTTTGGAACTCTTTATTCCTTTCTCGTAATGCGTAAAAACTACGTTATTTGTTCAATCGTCAATATATTTTTATTAAAATACTATTATGTGCGAATCCGCTCACGCTTTTGTACAGTTGAAGTAGTTTATGTATGCATTAATAAGCATTACAGTAATAACAGTAAAGAATATTAGTATAGTAGGTTTGTACCACAACAGATCCGTTATTGAAGACCATACCTTTTCATCCAGACGAATATCCCGACGAGCTGAGATATGTAACTCTGCCAGTTCTCTCAAGGATTACGTGCAACAAACCAGACTCATATAATGGTAAGGTTCTGGATGGTATGTTATGCATTGTAGACATGTCTGCAGACCAAGATTCTTGCCAGGTAACACTATTGCTTTAGAACAAAATGACAGCTTATTCGATAATTTATTTTCAATAGCATTCACAATTTCATTCATTAGATTTGCTATATGACTGCTAAATGTATGCTTTCCATTTAACAAAATAGGCCAGAGCTCAATTAATATGATTTTCCTGATGAAGCGATTTAAGAGTCTCTCACCTGGTATTTACAAACGCGCAGTTCTGAACTATAGATCCTTTTAGTCGACAAATCAGCGTTCGCCCATAACTTCAAAATCAAAATCCTTGTTTTTGTGTAATTGCGCGTAATGTTGTTTAGAGCAAATTTACAATAAATTTTGTGTTCATTTTGAAGACGCGAGTGGAAACAAATATTCGATATGACATGGGCTGTATTTTACTTATTGCTTAAAATGAAAATCAATTTCGTCAAGGGAGTTGGTTGTTCATATACCATTTGCTCCATCAAATTATTCAAACAAACTTCGTTGGGGTGCTGAAATCTTACACTTTCCCCAAGTGTAAAAAGTTCTTATAGAATGCCGTAGCCTACATAAGACAAAATCCGTCAATGGGGTTTAAACTTTAAAAAGAAGTTTCCATCTTAGGCTACCTTGTTGTCTAACAGTATCGAAGACTGTGACTTTCAACAATACTCTAGATCAGATATAGCTGTGCTCGCTAATAGCGACACCGAGCCTACCTAAAAAGCCAACCTATAACAAGTTCTCATCGCGAGCTACGTCGATAGGCTTCATCACAGCTTTACTCATGGGTAATGGACATTACATTACTGAGATTAATGCAGTCATTATCCGTCATCTCGCTGAAACTACTTGCTCATTCTATAGTCTATACTTTCCACTGCTGTGATTCAACATTTATTCATAGTTCTATTTTCACATAGTTCATTTTATTTGGAACAAAATAATCGCAGAAACAAAATATAAAATGAATGAAGGCTAGTAGACTGTGTTTTGTTGTAAAGATATTATTCGCGATATTGAGTCGAATCCTCGTTTAGCAGAAAGTTGCGCAGCAGTCAGTCCGTCCTAAAACCAAAATTACCAAATGATTGATAAGGATTACTGCGGTGGAAATTTACTAACAATCGCTTAGTATCTAAATTTAATAAATTCTGTTTGCGTGCCACATATAACTACTTTATCATTATATATATGTACATTATGACGTCTTTTAATCAAATTGTTTACCTACATTGTTACTCCTGTAGTATATGAACCAATATGGCGGACACCGGAGCGTAGTATGTGTACCAGGCAAGAGTTGGGCCAAAATTTTATTCCAATTTTCCTTATTTTAGTTTTATTACGAGTTTGGGGACTAGCCAAGCGACTCCCGTAGTATTTGTACCCAAAATTATGGTCTAACCCCAACCTGGTACACATACTACGTTCCGGTGTCCGCCATCTTGGTTCACATATTACGGAAGTATCCCTGCATTGAGGTCGATATGATTTAAGTTATAGAATCACATGGCTAAATTGACCGTAATTTTTCATGGCCAATTTTTAAAATAAACATTCGGGATTCCTAATATTCTATAAGAATTGAGCTATATTAAATTACAGATTTTGAGTTTGATTTTTACTCACTTTGTCTTTAAGGTCCGCATTCGCACCGTTCTCCAACATTAGTTGAACAACACTGAGATGCCCAAAATACGCAGCAGCGTGTAAGGGAGAATAACCGCTCTGGTATTGTAATAAAATAGGAAATGTTAGTGGCTTGGTGTCATTGAAAAGTTATAGGTATGATATTGCCATGTACCTCTGACCATCTGCAAACGCTCTCTGTATTATTAGACTACACCTGCATATACTGCATATATATGTATTGTTGAATAACGAAATGTACCTTTTGCAATCCTAAATTCGCTTTTCTTTTCAATAGACAATTTGTTATAGTTCTATATCCTTTGCTTGCCGCTTTAAATAACGGAGTTACTCCATCATCATTTCTTGGTCTGGTAAAAAAAAATTGTACTATTATTTTATACACGACTATATATGAGGAATGTCAACCCAACATTGGTACTGATTGACTTTGATATGAATCAGGGGTGTGTACCTTTATTACAGAAGGGCCAGAGCTCTGGATACGAAAAATCCAACTTACGAAGATTCTTCTCGTAAAAATATTGCTTCCGCTGACGTATAATTTTCTACACACGAAAGGCCGAAAACCTTAAAAATCCGTGTAGTGGTATTTGTTTATTTTAGGTTAATTTAATGCAGAGCTTGAAGTAGCGATGTCCAATTCGGATATCGCGACCTTCAAATATCGTTTTCCGTGTTTAAAAAAATATTGAATATGGCACACATATCCCAGCGCCGCTGCTGGCACACCATTCAAGATCTCCTAATGAATTTAATATTTCAATCAAGATACCTTCTACCCGATGTTACCATTATCGGCTAACTTAGTCCATGCTAAATAACTCCAAGAAGTTTCTGCTCATTTTTTTGCAATATTGATACCCGTAAATCAATAGTTTATTAGAACGGTACATGATTAGTTAGACCTCGCAGCCTTTTATATTTCCATAAAGTAGGGGAAGGTGGGGTACGTTGGCACATGGGGCACAGTGGAAAATCAGCTATCACACTGATACTATATCCGCAATCCTGTCTGCGGCTCGATGTTCCAATCCGCCCTTCGGTGAGTTACAACGTCCCCGCGAACGGACAACGGACGGGTAGAGCGGTGCAAGCTATGGGGTGAAATTGGTTTTGGAAGGTTGAAAAAAAAATTTCACCGTTCCAGTTTTTTCTTTTTTTTAGTTTAGCCTTTCCAACGAGACAAACCATCGTCTGATATTCTTTAGCGTCAGTCCACTGTAAAATATTCCTAACGTTAGCGAGTGGCTGTGCCTTCCGAATTTTGCCGTGGGATGGTCTGAAAATATTTGTTTCCTATGGGGAACAATGGACCGGGGTTCAGTGGGACATGCTCTACAGGGCACAATTCGACAGTGTTTGATACTATAAGTGCTTAGAGATTTAGAGATGCGTTATATCTTGTGTAATATAATGGTTTCTTTCGACCCATGGCCCAATATGGAATATATTCGAGAATCAATAATATTTCCAGATTTAGATTCGAGGAAGGAAATAATCAAATTTTTTTGCAAAATGTATTGTCAAAATATCTGAACAATTTCAGTTGAACATTGATTTTAAAAATATTAAATCTTCAAATTCGAAGTCCCCTCGTACTTTAGACGATTATGCTGATTAATTGCTTATTTTTAAGGGCATACTTCGTTGAATTTTGACAGACTGACCCATTGTGCCCAAGGGTCTGTCCGATTGTGCCCCACAAGTGGGGTAGAGTGGGACACTTGACAGACGTTTTTCAAAGCATTTTGGTAGTAAAATGTGTGTCGCAAGGGAATTTCTTTGTTGCTGGATAAAAACTACATTTTCCCCTCTATGCATTAGTCCCGCAAACTTAAGAGAATATGCAGAATTAACGGCTCAAAATATGCAAAAGAAAAAAAGTGTCCCAACCTTCCCCACTTTCCCCTACATTTCATATGAAACACTCTTTAAACCACATTATTATAAATAAACGTTTGAATAAAATACTTGTCAGATTCAGCTCCGAGATCCAGCAATGTTTGAACAACCACCACGTGACCCATTTGGCACGCAATCCATAATGGTGAAGTACCGTCCTGTGTAGAATAAATATATATATTTATATATATGTCCGTTTGTTCAAATAGCTAGCTATACGTGCTAAACTGCAATTATCACTAGTCTTTTATTAATATACCACGTTGTAGACTACTGTAATGAACTTTAAAGGTTTATTGAGAGAGATACTAGTATTACAGAACTGAGAGAATGAATCATCAAACCGTATTTTTTTTCTGTTGTCTAACCATCCAAGCACTAATACATACTACCTCCCTCCTGCAGTTAACATCGGCTCCACTTGAAACAAGTTGTCGCACAATTGCATCATGGCCATTTTGAGATGCTACAAATATGGGTGTCGTTTTATCGTGTAAACAAAGATTGATGTTGGCTCCTTTGGAGCACAAATATCGAACTACTTCCATGTGACCCATCTGAGAAGCGATGAATAAAGATGTTGCTCCATTCTAATAAAAAGAAAACACATTATAAAATGAAAAAATTCAAGAATGATTCAGAATAAATTTGAAATTTTTGACCTTATAATCAGCTAAAAAGTAGATATTTGCATTACTTAAATCTTACATTGCTTTGCGAATCGATCAAAGCCCCAACGTCGAAAAGAAAACGAACAACTTCTGAATGACCACCTTGTGCTGCAAGAAATAATGAACTTGTTCCCGTCTGCAAAAAGGAAAATAACAAAATCATTAATAAAATAATTTTTAAAAAAGATGGTCAATACAGGGTGTGGCAAAACTTTTCCATATTTTAAATTCTTACTATAGCAATGCTGTTGCAGATATTCACCTAGCTTAACATTTATATTGGTAATAAACTGCCAATTTGTTTACTAGAAATTTTATTAATGAGTGATTCATTTCGAATTCTATAAAAATCTTTGATGCCCAAATATTGCTTGGATGGGTAAACACCGTAAATTTATTGTTAATCTTTCCTCACTAACAGAGAATTTTTCACTGGAAACATTCCTACTAATGATATTCCGATGAGCAGTGGAAGACTCACTTTCATTTATCTGGTTTGGTTTTGTCAATAAGGAAAATTTTCGTAAGTAAAAAGTAACCCTAAGTTTCGAAAGTAACCCTAGAACGCTACAGGAAAGGCTTCTTCATAGAGAGCGAGTACAATGGGCTGTGGAGTTGCTATCATTTAGAGATTTGGGGGCCGTATATTTTTTAGGACGAGGAAAAAGCGGTTTTGATTAATCCCGCTTGTCATATGCAGATGCCGCAAAACGTTCTCGTTCAACAGAATGCAACAACTGCCAAACGGCAAAAATCTATGAATGTTTTGCGAGGAATCTTACCAACTCATTTGATTTTTTGCATGATGATATGGGATGGTCAACACGCTTGCCTGACCTAACCTTGTAATTATTTTTTGTGGGGTTATCTTCAGAATGAGGTATACGAGCACCAATCAGCAATGGACTAAAAGCTGTCATTTGCAAAATATTAAATGAAATTTCACGAAAATTCACTCAGAGGTTGATGGAAAACTTTAGCACACGCTTACATCAATTAAATCTATATGAAGGTCGTCTGTTGTTTTCAAAAAAGTAGTTTACGCAAAATGGCAATTAAATACGTTATGCGTTAAGTATGTAATAAAAAATTAATAAAACCCTTTTTGTCTATTTTTTCAAAAAATGAAATGTGGGAGATTTTGTGCTTCACCCTCTTGAATTCAGCTATAGTTTATTTATTATTATACGGACCGAACGACGGTGCAAATTTTTTCGATCAATTAATGTCGATATCGTGTTACGTGATTACATCATCTGTTGAGCTCCATTTTATTGCTCGTAAATGTATTTTAAAAAAAACTCACTGATCTTCTTGCGTTGATATATGCTCCAAATTCTACTAATAATTTCACACAGTCTAAATGTCCCGCCGCACTCGCCAACATAAGAGGGGTCGTCAGTTCCTGAAAAACAAAAATGTTTTATGATTTAGAGTTATATCTGAACGAAATAATTCCCGAATAACAAATTTAGCAAAGCGCACTAACATGCCATATGAAGTTTTACGACACAACTAGAACGAATTAATTCGTGTAATTGAAGACGAGCAACCGTATAAATGCTCTGCTTTACTTTAAAAGTAACAATGATTGATATTTTCTAACTTAACCACGTGGAAGTACTTTCATTTTCAATATATCTGTTAATTGTCAAGCGCATGCGACTGTTTCTACCGTACACTTATCCAGTCAATTGGTTAATGAGAAGCTATTGAAAACTGATAAAACTGTTCAAGAGTATCCAACCTAGCCTTGGCCACAGAACACAACTCGGAGACCACCTCGAGCGTACTTGGTCAAGGATAATGGTACAACAAATCAATCTCTTTCAAGCTGTTACACAACGAAACACGTCAGGAAATAACAAATAAATCGTGCTTTGTGTTGTGACCAACATATGGTCAAGTTGCAGATTTTACCGTTTACTTTTTAAGTTTTGTTGTTACACAAACAATTGATTATGTGATGATTGACATCTAGAAAGTAACGGTGGTGAATCTTGGGGTCTAATATAATGGTATTTGCTAATTTAGTGTATAATGAGCTATCAAGAGTTTTGTTTCCATAGTAGTTCGCCGGGAAGTAACATTGTGTATGGTAATTTTAGGCAGCATCTTGGAATACTTCATTAATGCCGTAATGATACCAGTTTTAGAAATTCCGTGTGGTTTCTACAAGCTGTTTTAAAATAAAAAATCAACACCGCTATAGGCATATATATGTAAATCTATAATAGCCTTTTCAATGGGCACCATAACAATTATGGTAGGCCAGGTCAGAATTCCATAAAACGTAGTTTTAACATTAAAAATGAGAAATATTTCAATTATGTGCAGTTATCTCTTAAAAGTTACTGATTAATAAGGGGCCTCATTGAAGAATTAATTACCTGGGGGTGCCCGCTTTGCCATAAACCGATACTTTATTTTGTCAATTTAGTGGGTAGTGTTCCAAGACGTAAAGTAATGTTATGAATGAAAATGATTTCAGACGTTTTGTTTCTCGAACGAGTAGAAACTGAACATTCATAGAGTAGAAGTAGCAATGAATTTATAAAATTAAAATATACTTTTCGTCTAAAATATTTCTTTTTGTCAATAATTAATTCTAATTACATGACTTATGTCACCTATGATGACTGCATGCAGGGACGAATTAAGCCTCTTTGGTGCCCTAAGCACTGAAGACTTTGGTGCCCCCTCATGTGTAATTTAATTATAAAAATAATAGACCACATAAGTGTATTATCCATTAAAAATAATCACAACCAACAGTAAATAGAACAACTTTTACGAACATTTTTTGGGTTTTTAAGTTTTATATATAGCCGATTACCTAGTAGTCTACCTCAGGGTGGTTCAAGGTTGCTAGGTTGAAGGACCGCAAAAACTTTTGAGGAGGTCTCGCGGGCCGTAAGTAGGAGAAAACCCAAAAGTGATCGAAATATCGCGAGTTTACTTACTTTAAATTCAATAAACAACGAGAGTTTACCGTTCTAATCAGACTATTATTATGTTGTTAAGTTGCGTTCTTTTAAAGAAGATATATATATAAAGCCCTCAGTTATTTTAAAGGTTATTCCCGAGAATCACCGTTGTATTTTGCGCATCTCGCGTTTAATGTCGATCCAAATTATTTTCTTTCGTGACAGATATTACTTGAAATCAAACCAGACACTGTGTGATGGGCAAGGAAATACGTCCACCGTGTTTTCCTTATGTCACCTTTCTTGCGACACTCATTTTAAAACGAATTGTTATATTGAGTAATTTAAAAACTTGCAGCGTGAGCAAGCTTAGTGCCATCGTCAAATACCAACCAGGTCCGTCTAAGTTGGTATTTCGGATCCTAGCTAAAAAAAAATGGATTGCGCGTTAAGTCGGCTCTGCGTTTCGTCACTACTGTCACATGGCCGACGCTTAAAAACAGAGGAGTGTTTTTACTAAATTAAGGTCACAAAAGGGTTTGAATCTCGGGATCTCAACCCCTGTTGCAATAGCTAAAAAAAACTCAAAAACTTTCCTCCATTAGATATACAAATATACGCTAAAATCGTTCGGTGAGCCGCACAGAATGTATCAGCATGACAGAGTTTGGATCACCCTGGTCTACCTTATCAAAAAACTCCCGACTTCGCTATCACCTAGATCCTTGAAATGCGATCGTGGAATCGCCACATAGTGTAAATAGTTCATTGGTCCAATAGTTGAAGAGAAAAGAAACTTTTTTAAAACAAAAATACAGCAACAAGGAGAATACTAGAAAGAAAAAACAACAACAATTCAAGAAAACGACTACTAGGCCCATTTCGTAACCAAAAAAAATTTCAGTGTTTATTTTTTATAAAGAGGGTTAATATGATACTTGAAGACGAAAAATAAGCGAACATTTTGAAGTTTGAGTCTTCTGGTGAACTCGTAATATTTTAATAAACACCGATAAACTATATAAAACTCTGCTCTAAAATTTCTGTGGTACCCCTCTTTGCTTGGTGCCCCAAGCACGTGCTTATATTGTTTAATGGTTAATCCGGTGCTGACTGAATGGTATATTTGGCGACCACCACCAACTCTCTTCAGTAACATTGTTGATATGGTTTAATGTTAGATAATACTGTGTGAACACAATTCAAACACTTGGAGAACGTATAAATGCTCATCTTCTCAAGGATTGAGTAACTTTAAAAAAGTATTTATAGATGAGCTTGATATCTGGAATTCTATCTATCCTGACAGGCAGTGAAAACAATTCAGGAAAGCTTCAAGTAGTGCCGTGTATGTGATATTGTATTCTAAATTATATATGAGAGAGTTATATTGCAATAATACTTATACTGAAAATATGAGCTACAACGTAAATTGTTCTCATTCTAGTAAAAAGCTCCGTTATTCCTTTGTAGTTTTATAAATGAAGGCTAAATTAATAAAAATAAAGATGTAATGACCGAGTATAATGCGACTGAATTCGTAGCCAGGTCATTTAGATTAGTCCATGCTTATGTAGAATACCTTGGTAAGCTAACGAAAGAACATACTCAAATTACATAGATGTCCTTTTGGTTTAACGGAAAGACAATTTAGTGGGAGAAGCAACTTTTTCGGTTAATTTAAGACATGCAGATAAATCCGAAATTTACTTCTATCTTGTTCCTGGTGATCGATGTGTTAATTGTAAAAATTACGGTAAAATCGAGTAAATTTGTTGACAACTTATACGCGCGTTCACAAGAGTCGATAGTACAAGCTAATCTATAATGTATCAGTTGAACATGTTTCTTTGCATATCTGATTAATTTGACAGATCTCGCGCTCATGTCTTGTGTCAAAGACGGATCAATATGCAAATTGACTCCGCTTAATATGCTTGAGAAATGCTTCGACAATGCCTGACATAAGTGGCATTTACCTATCGTTTTCGGTGTGATAGCGAGGGTTCAGTTTGTGATGTTTCTTAGACGTATTTTGATACCGAGCTTATAAAATATTCAACAATAAGGGCGAGAAAATTTGTACTTGACGCATTTATGAAATAATATGAAGCGGAATGATGAGTTGCAGTTGGGGTTTTAATATCAAGAGAGAATCTTTTAAAATTTAAATGATCTCGAGAAACGGGCATTTGTGCTAATCGTATGTAACATTACAGCCTAAACATTAAATTAAATTGAGTGTTTTGGAAATTTATGTGGTATTTCTGTTAGTTTTCATGTATATATATATTTCCTGTTCTGACCCGTTGAATTTGCTAGAAAGGGTATAAATATAATGAAATACTGACTTGAGGAAATTAAAATTATTTGAGGGCGAAAGTAGATTTGTAATAATCAGATTTTAAGGTTCTTAACCTTGGTGAAATGAAATCGAGGTTGATATTTTTTATGTTTCAATTTTCAATCACCATTGAGAACACAGCTGCACAATGATATAAACACACAAAGCGGAACAGCAATAAAAGTCACACATACTGTGATTCACGAGTGCAGTTCCTCACTGCTTTATAAGTTCCAGATGCTTGCGATAATGAAGCAAAAGAAATTGCAAATCAGTTTACGACATGAATAGATAATTTTGTATAGGGTATATATATATATTTAAAACTTATATTGATATTAGTGATCATGTATAATCAAATTTCTAGAGAAGTTGATCTGGTTTCCACAAATTTATGCCAATATCTAACTAGAAACCCATTGGGCATATTCAGAGTATGGCTCATTGCGGATAGATCATTCTCTGCACAGCGTATCTATAAGAGGTAAATTAACGTCGGAGCAGTTAAACCATGTTTTTCAAGAACAATAATCAAATCGTCCGGTCGTTGCCCAACGTTATTCCTAAAGAATAGGCAGTGACATCGAATTATAATTTTTATTATAATATTTAAGACTTTTATTGTGTATAGAGTTTTGTTTGTTTAATTAAAGGTGCAAGGTGACGATGGCATTTTTTCTTCTTTTTTTTATTTTTTTATCGGTGGCTAACTGATAATTCCGCAATATACAGAAAACGTGCTACTAAATTAACAATTTCCCTTCAAATATAGCCTTCACCCGTGCCATGTTGGATCCTTGTTAGTTATTCGGTATAATTTTAATTATGAGCTCATAATAAATTCTTCGCCGAGAACGCCTGGCAACGTGATGTAAACAAACAACGCGTTGTATTAAGATATTTGAAATATATGGCAGTAGTTGTTTGGCTATAGCCGCGGGGTCGTGGTCTAGGCTTTTTTCGTATTATCGTTCAAAATTAATATTGTCGATAGGTGAATATTAATACGAGGTGTTATGGGTTTTGCAAGCTTGTGGCTTATTTTGTTGCGATTCTCATCGCACATATGCTAATGCCAAGGCAATGGGCGTAAGACAAAGCAGACAGTCGTGTGTTACCCAGTCAATGTACAATTTTTTGACCCTCTAGAAGTGTTTGTACCAATATTGAAATAACTGATTTTGTTCGCCTACTTTACATCAAGTTGTATAAAGAGACTGAAACCTGTGGGCAAGAAGTATATTCACTTGGCTAACACAGACAGTCCCCGAACTCGCAATAGAATTGAAATATTCTCAGTTCAACCGGGAAGTTCTGAATAAAATTATGGCATAACCTGGTAGATATCCTACGGGAGTACCATTTTTTAGCAATAAAAATATATATAAGGTGCACCGCGTATGTGAGATTTTAAAAATGTTAATTTTAGCTCGATTGGGAACGCCTGCTCGAGTCTATCTGTTTTTTTTTTTTTTGTGTGTATGTCGCACAGAGTGTGAAGGACCATCACGATCATACAGGGCTATGCGTAAAGGATGTGATCTTTGATTATATTACGAGTAGGGTAGATTTCTACAATAAACATTGGTTGTAAAAGTTCGTGTGTCATTTCTGTGAACAAGCAAGGATTAGATAATGAAAACTGCAGTTTACTGTTTTTGTCAATAGTCACTCATTGACTTGCTTAACCTTCAGTGGATCAATGAAATTTAATCAATTTATCACTGTACTACTACGATAACTTCATACCACGTGTCGTTGTAATACTTACGTTGCAATATTACTGACATCATATTGGTAGTGGTTTGTGAATAAACACGTTTTAAAATAACAAATTAGTTATCATCCGGTTGGTTGAAAATTCGAAGTTCCAGTACAATCTGCTGACCCAAGCCTTAACTGGTTAATTACTAATTTTCTTATTTTAAGCGTAGGTCGGGGTGTTTTCTTTGGCGGGGTCTTTGTACAAAAGATCCAGAACTGCGTTAGATCGTCATTTTAAATTTGGTTTGAGCGACAAGAATCTAGAAATCCACCAGATAAAATGAAATAATCCGTTTATATACGTTTCAATGTGGTAAAACTTGTTCAACATTGTCTTGTTCAACGAGTGTCTTGCTAGCTGCAGTAGAGAAAGTATGCTACTTAGAACACAACGTACCATAACTAAAATTTTATTAGTACGAGTGTACTTGAGATTCTTCTAAAGCAAACAACTCTAGAGCGATGTCATTCTAGAAGGCGTTCATGGGACGTTCAACGGACGCCAACAGGCACAGCTGCCGCGCACCCTGAGAATGACTGAGTCAAATACCTTACCTAATGAATTTGTTGTTGATTGCGCGTGGCCTGGTAAATCATGAAGTCTTATGACCTCATAGTTGTTGTTTTCTCTTTGGCCGTGCGGGAAAGACCGGAAAGACTTATCGAAGAATTAGTGGTATGCGGTTATAAGTAAACGAGGTTAGATCGGTTTCAGGTTGAATAGTTTTATACCAGTTCAATGTTTTAATACTTTGGGTTCGCCACCGTTAAAACGAACTTCGCCCAATGAATATAACATAGGAATATTTTGAATGGAACATAATTTGTGCCATATCGCTGATTAGACTTATATGTTACGTAAATGAATGACTTAAGGATTTCATTCAACGTTCGGATTACATCACTGCAATAACATATTAGATTGGGTGGTGCGCGGAAAATAAGTAAAATCGTTTTAGTGACGAGTTGGTAAAAGTTCTGCCACCCACAGATTATGTTTCGGGTTGCAAAAGTTTTTCTGAGATAATTTTGTTCCAAAAATAAGGCGATCAGAATTCCCCTGAAATCTCGATTAACCATCATAGTGACTCATTCATGCACTCAATTTATTGCTTCAATTATCTGAATACTGCATTATAAGCTGTGTCATGTAATTCGGGGATTTATTCTGGGTCGATAAAATAATGGAAGCGCGAAGATTTTCGCTTAGATTTATTGCCTACATATTACGCTCGTTCGACGATTTGAACCTTTATTACTTGTGGAGCATATATCATCAGTCAAATATATTTCGAATGTCTGGTTAGATTCAGGAAAGAGTGAGTGTAGAGCGAATCACAATTAATCATAGAGCTAGACAAACTTCGAACCATGATATTCATTGCTAGTGCGGATCTTCATCTGGTTGTTTTAGGTAATTTTATATGTCAATATTGGGTACTCCTGAAGTATGCGCACCAAGATGTCGCACAACCTGAACCCTGACCTGGTACAAAACCTGAGTTCAGGTTGTGCGCATACTTCAGGAGGTTCCAATATTGTGATTAATACGAGCAGATATGGATTCATTATACAGTATATATAAGCTATCTGATAGAATGCTTCAAATTGTCAGACCAATAGGTTCTGTAAACAACTCCAGATTTGTTCCGCAATGGGTGCTTCCCCAATGCGAAAACCCAGCTGTAACATTATAATTAATTTCATAAAATGATCACAAGTCTCTATCACGTTCAATACGTGTGAGTCGAATAAAGACTTATTCTATGACATTTGTCATATCGAAAAATGAAGACAAAATTTGTCATTTTGTCTCTTAGATCACTTTCATTTTTGGACTATTTCAAATTTCGTGTCATGACAATTATATTTTCCGTGTAACACATATAAGATTTAGTGATTTATTGTTATATTCTACATGGACAAGTGACATTGAATGAATATGTAAAAATCAGAAAAAAAAAATAAATCCTCATGACAACACAATTTATCTATATTGCATCTAATTGTGAATTGTATTCAATTATCTTGTTGTAAAAGCTATCAATGAGGAGGGCAGTATCTGAAATTTTTGAAACTAAAAAAACATGAACTGTTCGCTATTGCCCACCAGTGACAAAATATTCATTCATTTTGCGTTTCAAACTCAAAAAGACTTTACTCCTTGTTTTGCGATTACATAATATTGTTATAAACCTCCATTTCTATCAAATACCAGTTAATGTAAGTATTTCTTAAGTCAACTCGCAATAGAATTATGAATGCATATTACGTTGCCTGTTATGGACTTATTTCATTGACGTTCTCCTCAGGTGAGTTACGTAAATCGAATCATAGTCTGCTTTTAGATATCTTGGATTATCGATGCTTTAAACTCAAGCAACAAATTTAAGTTCAATTTATGCCATTGCTGTAACATGGTTTCAAAATTTTCGGATATGACTTTCAGAAAAACTTTTACATAAAGTAAAGCCGCCAGCCATGACCCCCAGGGCTTGTATAATGTGCATAATGTAAAATATTCAAACAATATCCCTTTATTTTCGATGGTAATATCTGATTTCACTATTTAAAAATGATAATTTGTTTTAGTTCTTGCGTTGCAATGCTATCGATGTTCCAGTGCAATCAACGGAGCGTGCGACGACAAAAATTTAGTTTCTGCGCAACTGACACAATGCGTATCGTCTGGTCCACTCCGAGAAAGATTTTGTTCCAAAGTGACAACTAGCGGTGATAATTATATTTTAATTTATTTTAATGATTTCATAATATTCGATAACATTTATTGTCATATTTCTCTTATTAATCTTAACAGGGCCAAGCCAAGCAACTATGATTATGCGAACTTGCAGTGTATCAGACGTGAATGATTGTCGGAACATAAATGGAAACACTGAATGCACAACAACTTGTACTTCCGGTATGAGATAAGTTGAAAAGAGTAACTAGCGTCAATTTGTATAAAACATTGTTGTAGGGCGTTATATAGTTTATAGTGAGTTATATGTTTTATAGTGCTATCAGAACAAAACTTCATATTATGATAATATCAAAAATCACAAGATGTTGGTAACTCAATGCATTGTCGACATATGTCACAATGAATATCACAATGGAAAATTTTTCTAATTGTCGTAGTACAAAAACTTACTAAGGTGACCAATTCAATGCCAAGTTTATTTGGAACGCTTTTTCAAATTCAGGTATTCAAGTAAATATTTTTGCACGCAATCTTCCTGAAAATACATAATTGAACCTTCACAAATTTTTATTGGGTCATTTCAAAATAAATACCAGCCCGCTTTAATCGTATGTTTGTTATAAAACGTAAAAAGAGGCGAAACAATGAGTCCTGCAAGCGGTACACACCCTAGTTATAATCGAGCATGATCAACAGATGAATGGCACGAGGTAAACATACACTACTAGCCCTTGCGAGTTAACTTGACCTGTTTGTTTTGTTTTTAGATGGTTGTAACAAGGGTTTTACCATACGACCAGTTGTGATGAGCACAATTTTATGGATATTTCTTGTTATTTTGGTTACTGACCTAATGTCTTGAATTTATGATGAAGATACCCTGTCACAGAGTCGCACTAGTGTACTATTGGTCAATCACCATTGACGTATAATGTACAAACAGGGTGACTTCACCACAATTTTCTAAATTTTCCACCGATTCCTATGCAAGTTCCGTGCAGTTGTCACTTTCTGGACAAAATTGAACTTAATCTGATTCACAATCAGTGTCGGACCAAAGTTTGCATCCCACTGCATCGTAATTTTCATAGCGCGCGCACACGTATTATTAACAAACGGCAGTGGAGACTATTTTTGGGTTGACTACAATTCCAAACCATATAGGGCGATAACGCCTTAATCATTTCGTTGGAGGTGTGGATGTAGCGTTTCAAGAGACGACCCATCTCTATAGTCCACGCGAAACAAAGACCATTTTTCGACAGAAGAGAATTTAATTTACTGTTAATATTCATTTTCACCTTTCAAATATATACAACTACGAAATTTCGTACTTGACTTGATGTTGTGTATTTATTGGGCAAGTGCAGACAAGTTCTTTTATTGGGTATATACATTTCCCGTGCTGAGGGGGTCGCATTTTATATGTTTTGCATTTCCAATAGCACTCTAATTGTCGCCAAGTGTATCAGAGTTGAGTATTTTACACACTCTTTGAGAGGGATAATGTGCGTCGTCGCATAGTCTGGCCTTTCAAAATAGTTATACACGCTATGCGGTTTTACCTGAAAGACCCAATGCAATTAAGAGTATTTATTGTATGCTGTGGAAAACGCTAGAATGAGGTAATGCGATTGGAATTTCAATCTAATGTTGTGAATCATCATTTATATGACGTGTCTGGAAGATCACCATAGTGGAATTCAATGCGTATATATGTACAAGAAGTTTGACGTCAATATTGATTAGGCAAGTTTATCACAGGCAATTTAAAGTCCGAAATTAACATGACTTTTAACTTTGCATGTAAAATTAATGAGCAAGCTCGCAATAGTGATATGACCTAATAGCAGAATACGATGATAAACTAAATTGGGTTAAAATTATAAAATGATTATTCACCGGTAAATGTTTTCAATGTGTGACTGAATGCTTGGTTTCAACACTGATTGGATTAAATAGTCTGGTTATTACAAGGCAGTAGTTCCTGGCCGAGATTTTAGGGGTGCAGGTGTTTTTCTTATTTTACTTACCGAATCGGCGGCATCCGGTCTGACTTTCCCCCTCTCTAGTATTTCCCTGATATTGTAGGCGTCTCCGCTGTAGGCGGATGCCTGGAGTAGCGCCGCCATGGCCTCCAGCGCCTAAAAACGAGAAAAAAACTAATTAAAGCCTCACGAAACAATGTCACAATGAACAGCATTGTACTAAATCAAACACAGTATACATTGACCCTAGTAATATCCAATGTAATTTATTGTAACCAGTATTCACATATCTACCGACTTTTTTTTACAAATCTTGAACCTTCAGCCACACACGGTTTCCCTGTGGTATATACTTTAGTTCTATGCCAAATCCTACAAGAAAGACAGTTTCTATCCTAGATAAGAAAGTCCGATAGAAAAACTCCGTGCTCCAATCAAATCGCTTGCAATATTTTTTACTTTGAAAAAAAAAACATATTTTCACAATTTCACCTATGTTGGGTCAAAATTTACTGCATGAAGTCTTAATATATAAGTGTATTGGCGGAACTTTTACGGTGTTGGATTTACGCCCTTCGAAGCTTTGCAAACTACATGGATTTAGATGTCCTGGAAACAAATGTAATCAGGTACTAGCAACGAATGCCTCTTTCCCCGAATATTTATTGACGTGGTTTCTGCCTATTTGACTTGCTAGCTTTTTGGTGACGAGGGAGCAGCGATAGTAAATTCTTTAAGACCCTAACTGCACTTTTTTATAAGTGCAAAATTGTTAATGACAATTATTGGAATTATATTGAATACTTTTCATTTAATGATCGGTATTTTTATAAATGAATTTCGGAATATAATATATCTAATGGAATTGCCCGTTTTGTTGTTAGTTTTCATTATTATATTTAAATCAAAATTTATTGCCACTGTGTGAAGTTTAAAATAATATCAAAACAACCACAATTCACATGAGATCGACAAACGTCACCCCCAAATCGACAGTTGAGAAGAGAGCAAATTCCGACTAGAGCATGTATAAATATATTTGTTATCGACGCAAGAAATTCTTTTGCGTCCCTTGAACGTCATTAAGGGACGTTGGCTATTACGTGGTGCCCTTTTTCCAAATAACAAATATATTCGTTGACGGTCATCTGTAAAGATACTACTTGAATTTTAATCGCTTGAGCTTGATCTAATGATAAATTGAATTAGAAGCGATAAACTTTGCTTGAAAAATATGATTCAAATAACGCTCGAATAACATATTTGCAGAACGAGCAATCAAAGTTACATCTGATGATACGTTTCATGTTTGATTTATGCTTGGAATTTTTATTGGGACTATCATTTCCGATCCTGTACGGCGTGCATGAACGCAAATAAACACCGGAAAACAGTCTAAATAAAGCAATCCTCCTACGTGATGAAAAGTTGAGGCAGCTGTCATTTGCCTTATAATAATAACAACTATATTACACAATTTTGCTACGTTAGTTTCATTAGCTTCGGGGACAAAAATGTCTTTTCTCTGTCGAAGCTAGGCTCCATAAGTCGTTATTTGAAAAGAATTTAGTACTGACTTTCAAGTTAGTATACCCTTTGGTTATTTTTGTATCTTGGTTATAGTTGGTGTTTGAACCCCTAACTATTTTATTGAGCACGAATAGCCCATATGGGTCGTTTTGATAAATGTTGTTGGTAGTCTGAATTGTTGTTGGGGGGAATTCGCCTCTTTTGCAACTAATGGACTAATTAATTTCAACTGTTCAGTACTTGAAGTGAGAAGATGTCGCTAAAAAGCTACTTTTTCTAAATTAACTCTGCGCCCCCAAGGACTCAACATTTCGCCCATAATTTTGCTCCTGAATTTTAATTCATAATGACACTCTTTTTTAACCCGCTCCTCCATCACACCTCCGTCCGTCGTTCCATTGAGCAAACTCGTTGTGCCTAATTTGTCAAAGTTCATAGAATTTAAGCAGACCAATGCAATGAAATGCATATCGGGAAAGCGAATATGACAAAGAATAAACATGACAACTAGTGAGACGTGGACCGCACAGTCTCGGATGCTTCCTAAACTGGGATGGAAATTTTTCTCGACTAAAATGCGCATATTTTCCTTATTTCTATTTTTACAGCAAAATTAAATCGTAAGTATCTATTGAATGTCTCATAGAGTAAATTGACGTCGCATTCGCCAAGTGAATATATCAAATATTATTCGAATAATAATTTCGAATTACAACGGCGTATGTGAGAACGTCGATGAAAATTGAATATTTCATCCCAATCTAGGCTTTTTAGCGTAGTTGTTTGGAATTCGTGTCCATATATTTAAACAGTACTCTTTTGTTAATAATTATCTTTCAGGTTGGCTTTCAAAAATGACTGATATATATCGGGATAAGATCGTTCAAAATGTAAATGTTGTAGTATTTAAAAACCTTTTATCTTATATCTAAATGAACCCTTATTAACTCCAACACGCCATGTTTCGACAATCTTCGGAAAATTCTCTACGAAGTAACTGTTCTTTTGTACAGATATTACAAAAGTTATATTTCGGGAAATTTCATTAGGTGTTCATTAGTACCTGTAATTCTGTAAGCGGTTCCTCATCCACGAAACAGCTTTTTTGTAGTTCTATATCCATGATACTCATTGCTAATGGCATCTCCTTGTCATAACTTTTCACTCAAAACTCGTAAGAAATTCGCAAATTGCGCTTTGAACTATTCTCTGGTCACTATTATCACAAACACTAAATTTCATTTCAATAATTCCTAAATCAAAACTATCGATCCGGCCCACAATATGTCACAATACCGCCAAAGAATTGAACGACTTTCTGCAAATGTCATGTCGTGATAAAAACTCGAAAACGTTTTTTGGTGATTTGCCAAAATAGTATTTGGTCTGTGTCTATATGTTCAACGGTAGTTTAAATTAGTTCCTGATCAAGCATCAGCAGCACATAAACCAATATTTTGAGACTGCCCAAACTCGGTTCAAGCGCGATTTGATAGGAAGTATTTCGGCAAAAGATCATTGCGGATCATATTGTTTGTGTATGAATGACCATCTTTAACCCAATTAGGTTTCAAAGAACTAATAGGTGATGATAGATCCGGTCATCAGAAATGCTGTTTATATCAATCACATTTTGACATATATGTCGGGCATAGCTTGGCATGGGATGTAATACGATCCAGTGCCATAGAATAAATTGCTCACGATTCCAATAACATGAAACTGCAATTTGATTACGATATATTAACTTTTGGTCTTAATTCAGAGTTGAAAATAAATAATTTAGTTCGTGTTTATATATTTTGGTCCAGTAATCAAAATTCATTCACATCTATGAGTAAATAACTGTCGCCTTAGAATGCATGTAATGCACAGTTGTCACATCCAATAATCGAACTCGAAATATTTTATTGTATACACATACAGTACTACCACAAACATGTCGATATGTTATTTTTCGTTTAATTCAGTTCATTTTATCATATTAGTCACTGGTTCCAAATATCTGTGACACGTTTTTATTTTTTCCCATTATTATTTTTTATAAAAAAGCATATAGGCTAATACACATTGATTTATATATCATTTACTCTAACCCCGTTAGCATTATGGTATATTAGCCAGTGTTATGTTATATGGAGTTTATTAAATGAATACGGATTATAATGTTGAAAATTGAGGACTATTTTATAATATCCAATGTAATATGGACCTTCAACTGTTCACTTTCTTCTTTGAAAGAAAAGGGGGATCAGGATACATTTACTATCCATTGTGAGGTCAAGAGAGAGTAATCGGACATACGCCGATTTACGACAAAATAACTTAATGGAAATGAGAAAGGCTGAAGAACGCACAACTTGACTGCAATTTGACGAATAATAGGTTTCATTTAATTTAAGAGTCTTGCTGTACACTAACACAATGGACTGAAATCAGACGAAACGTTACAGACCCACATTTGTTTTGGTGTGGTGCAAGACTCTTGAATTAAAAATATAATATTGATCTTTATTATTGCTACGGCATTCTTATGCGCATACGGATCCACTTGCGCTAAGGCGTAACTACAACTTATAATATATTCATTTTATGTGATATTGTTTGTTAATCACTAGCAAATTATGATTACAAACAAAAAGCGAGAGTCGTTACGTACATCTTAATAACGTGAAATAATTACACTATTTAGAGGTTGATAAATTAAAACTTTAGATAAAGAATATATATAACATACCTTTTCGTGTATAGTCTGATAGGAGTCGATGGATCAATCAATACCAAATCACCAGAATATCCAGGCAATGTTGCAATTCTTCTACCTCGGTTCATACGCATAGAATCCCCACTTGCTACAGAACGGTCGTAGTAATTCATAACGAAAATTAAAATTGAATTGTTATGTTTTTCTGATTTCAGTTCACAATTATACCCTTTCGTTCCAACCAGCTTCAACTGCTAAGGACTCCTGTACGATGTAGTTCACTCCGTTTTATCCGAGCAACTGTTTTTTATTACCATGAAAACAGTCATGGTACATAGATAATACCTTAATTATGCTTCTATTTATATCTGGCTCAAACTTGACCGATGTTTTCACTCGTCCGAAACAGTTCTCAGATATAACTACGTCGCTATGCACTCCCTTGTGTATTCGGCCGGCAATTGTTATTTTCGTCGTTTACGTGGGAATGTCATCCTAATCGCATGGTAATGGGTTTTGACATCATGATTAGCAATTTCTCACAGGATTCCCATAACATCAGATTTTGTCAATAACTTGATTTAAACCAATATATCGTAGCGAGTATGATTTTTAATCGAAGAGAAGCATCCGAATCTTGGACGATATTACATTCACATATTTTTAGTATAATTAAATTTGGTCATCATGAATTTCATTTTCTAACCGCGGGCCATCGAAGGAGGGCTGATATCAATCGTGCTCGGCCTTTATACCATCAGTCACTAAAATCCTGCAGTAAACTATAAAAACATTTTTGATTACTGAATTACTCTCAATTTAAAGATATCTGTCATCACTTGATATGATTTCATGACTGGTTACAATACGGAGGAACTAAGAACCTTGCAACTTAAATTAGAAAAATTAGATCATCAAAAAATTATTCGTTTTCTCGCACTGTCCAGCAATCGCTCCAAGGGTAGCATCGTGGAATACTCTCGTTTAGATAAATAACCAAAAAATCATGGTACGAGACTGCTTCATTAACCTACAACAACCACAAAGTATATAAAACTAATGTCCTATACAACATCAGAAACGATCCGTGGCTAATTCGCACTTTCAATAACATGAATATCATCGGCCACCTGGGAATAAATTACCTTTTCCCGCAATATAAGTTTATTCTTTCTAATGCAGAAGGTTCATATTACTTACTCTGCGTATAGTATACTTAATGACTGAATATTTCCGCTCTTTCAATTTCGTGCGGTGACTATCGAATAAAATTCATGTTTCATTTCTTATTCAATTTACCTGCTCGACTGCGTTGTTATTAATGCAAAATCTGCAATGCTATCGAACTTGTTTCATATATGATGCGAATCTGTCCTCTTTGTAGAAAAACAGCGGACGATGTCACGGTTTGTTCGATATGTTTTGAAAATAGGATAATCTTTTTTAAACATTTCTGTCGCGACAAAGTTATTTGCAAAATTAGCAAAAATCCAAAATCTTCTCTAAATCAATGTTAGTTTAGGAAAAATGGGACGAACCGCTTCCAATTGATCACCGTACATAAAAAAATATATTTCTGAGTAGGTCAAACTCAATATTAAAAAGACATATAAGTGCATATAACCTAATGGAACTCCAAATATCGGCCCACTTCAGGCGACCGACAAGCCAACTAACTATATACGCTAAGTTTTTATTTGTGCACTGAGGTTAAATATTTATGGAAAATGTACGAGTGCTTACTGATGTTCCTTCCATTCACGCAGTTGACAAAACATACTTATTACTCCGTAAGTTGTCCACCTTTTCGTTTTATATATTAGACATAAAATATATCAGCCTACATTTTCACTCTATAGAGTTACAAAACTGAATTACGTTCATTAGAGAATATATATCTGTTGCAGAGTCATTGTGTGTGGGTCTAATTATACCTTGCGTTTATACGCTAACGAGTTTATTTTGGATTGTGGCACTAGCTTTGAGTCATAAGAGTAAACGAGTTATGCATCATCTAAAGACGTAAATCGAATACTGAAAGTAATACGACATTGAAAGATGCTCTCCGTATATGCTGTAATATAATATATTTACACGTTCAGGAAAACGCTTCGTTTTTCAGAGGTTCGTGAAAATGAGAAATGAGAATTTTGGACTCGAAGCCAGTTTTTGGTTTACAGTAAATGTATATGGGTTTGACCAGCAATGCATATATAAGTTTATTATACCAAAAAACTTCCGAACTCGAGTCTTCGAATTCTTCCTGCCTCGATATGGTCCGTTTATCAGTATGTAATGATCCTTACTGGTGCATATGAAAACATATTCTCGAAAAACTACTTTGAAATGTTGGTTACTGAGTAATTTAAATGTTCGATTATGTAAAAAGATAAATTAGTTAGGGAGCATGAGTGAGTTTTCCATACCCCGCATAACTTGAAGTATCATTCTAATGAGCAATAATTTTCGTCATAGAGGGGTAAATTTGATCCGACATCATCAAAATGTCACCACTTTTCATGCCAACAGATATGTATGTTGCGGGAGACCTTATTAAAAATATTATTTCGTCCCTGTATTTACGAGAATTTAAGATGAAATTCTTCGAAATTTATAAACTGAAAATTGGTTGAGGTTCACATAGTCTTAGCCTGTTGAGAGGCGTACATTTGGGATTTAATGATAAATAACAGAAAGCAATTGCATATTGACAAAAATGACATTCAAGTCTGCCCATGATCTCTTGCAACAATTCCGCTTCCTATTGTTTCGATTGCTATTGCTTTTACTTTGCCAAAACGGTCGAATTTACACTCGACAATTGACTGATTAATTCTATTTCTAAAACTCAAGAATTTTCTACCGATGCGCTCCACCGTGGGAGAACGTTCTAGAACTTACAACTCGCCATCAAATCTTGTGGTCATGAGAATAACAAATCCCCCGCTGAGAAGTGAATATACTAGGCATAGCTAACTCTTTTGCATCGCACGGGTTTTCTTTCGATATAAAGATATCAAAACCTTCAAAGGCCTGGCAAATGGAATTTTGCGTCTGTGGAGTGATTTACTTTTGTCTTAAGCATGAGTTGTTCTCAAACATACCAATATTGGCAAACAGAGACAAAAATTATAATGACACGTGAGTCGAAACCTATAAAGGGCTACATGAATCTCTGAACATTCCAAAGTTGTAAATGGCTTCAGTGTGTATCTGGCTCCCGCTATAGCTCTTACAGTCTAACTTGGCAATTATCAATTTCAGATCCCCACCGCTGAAAATTCCGGACTACGCACCGATTGTCGAACTCTAACCTGACCCGAATGCAAGTCATACAAGGTCATCAAACATGATTGCTGTACGATATTTTATTATTTTATACTCAGTAACTTCTAAGCAAATTCATTTTCTCTGTTTGCATTGATTCTTACTCTTTGCAAAAGTGATTTATTGTCATCAGTCATAATTCTGAAAAATGAAAAGCATTTCTGCAAATTTTACCATGTTATGTTTCATATATTCATCTTCTATTACTCACTTGTACAGCATCTCTTCAACTAGTATTTTCAACTCTTCCTCTAAGAGTCTTTCGATATGCATAAATTCCTAATGCCAGCATTCTTTTCGCAATATCGATTGTCTCCACATTCATAGTCTATATAACATTCGTGGTCTGCGAGAATTCAAAGAATTTAAATTATGTAGAAAAACCATTCACATCGTTGTTAATAAATCATTGAATACAATTTTAAAAATGACGATAAACTTGTTAAAATTGAGTTTACGATTCAATTTTGTTACAAAAAAGTTATCTGCTTGGTCCAAGGGTTACTGGTAAGACAACAAAATTGCTTTTGAGCGCCTCGATTAAACGATGACAATGGTGACATAAAACAATAAAAACTTTTGTGTCGTAATGTTGAAAACTCGACGCTCTTTACCAATATTGAGGTAACTAATTTTGTTCGCCTATTTTACATCAAGTTGTGTAAAGGGACTGAAACCTGTGGGCAGGGTGTAGTATATTCACTTGTGGCTAATACAGACATTCCCGAACTCGTAATAGAACGGAAATAAAAAAAAATCAGAATAAAATTATGGCCTAATCCTAACCTGATACACATACTATACGGTAGTACCAGAAAACTTACCTTTAACATAGCATTTCTTCTTAAAGTAATTGCAAAGTTTGTCTGGATTATTGCAATCCTTGTGTTTTTCGCATTCTGCGTTGATTAAAAATTAGCAATATGTTGTAACTGCATGATTTATTCACAACAATTCTAGTGGGACAAATATCGGCCACGCAGAAAAGAAGATTGTCGACAGCTTCACAGGCTTGTCCATGGGAATCCGGAAACCATTCATGGGATGGGACAGCACACATTTGTATTCCCCATGGGACACGAAAACCATATGATTTTTTGGGAAAATGAGGGTAAAACATTTCGTTATGTAATTCGTGTCGATATATTTGAGCATAGCTCTCACGCTAGTTATAAGGAGCAAAATATATTAAGCATTAACAATATGAAGGGGCTGGTGGACACATGTATAATGAGTATGAATATAAAGTAAACAAAGTCCGCAAATTTTGTTGTTTCGCATGTCTCGCCGATGTAGTGTTTTTAAGTAGACGCAATTTTTGTTGAATTTTCTTCCAATGGGAATCCCACGGAATGGGATGGGACAGGCATAATTGCTATGAGATGGGAATGGGACAGAAAAATATGTCCCATGGACAAATCTGCAGCTTCAGCTATATCGGATTGGTATTATATTGAGTATTGAATTATAGTCAATCATTAATTTGAATGAGATTGTAAAGTTCGGCAGGGTGTAATATTAAGGAAATTGCATTTGTGACATTTTGACACGTGGGGCGTCACACATGAACAATTTCCGACAGTGTTGAATGTCGAATCAGACGAAAATAGGCTGGATTCGGGCTTGAAAAAAAATAATGCTTTAAAAAAACCGAGCCGAATTTGAGAGAAAATTATTATTATGTGAAAGTTGAAAGTTTTGTTCCCTAATATTAGACAGTTACCTATAGTACGACATTCTCCTGTAAGCTTGACCTGATACTCGTACTCATAAGACCTTGAACGTTTATAGCAAAATTTCGAGGAATCACAATCTTTGTCTCCCTCGCAGTCTGTATGTGTAAAGGAAAAATTAGAAATGTATTGCAACTGATTCATTCGCGAGAAGCCAAATATCGTTTTGCAAAAAATGGTGATCGATAGTTTTAGCTATATATATGGTTGATTCTATGTTTAATATGACATTAGTCGATCTTCAATTTAATTGGTAATAAGTAACTTTTATTTCAGACAAATGCATTTGTTTTATGGTTTCCGCAACTAAGAAAAACAAATTCCTCTGCAAGACTGAGTCAAGTAAAGTCGTCAAGTTTGTTCGTCACGCATGAGTACTTTTGCACAAAAATACAATTTTAATGGTATGATTGAGTGTTGAATAGGGACAAAATAGGCTCAGTCCAATGTGGCAAACGTCAAAAAATCTCTCCTAAACAAGGAGCAATAAATGGAATACAACAATAGTAAAATTGTTGGTTGTTGAGTTTATGAACCGATGATGTATCGTAAAAGTGGTTCGCATGCTGCTAGCGATGAAGTCGTTAATGACGATTGTATCGAATCAGTACGATGGGGATTGTAGGAATTGAAATTACATTTTCATAATACTGTATTAAAAATTTACCTTCATGAGAACAATCGCCATCATTGCAAAATTGGTCTGAACCACAGTCTTCATTTTTTAAACATTCTGCGTAAAAGCCAAATTAAAAATATACCGAAATTGACAATAAACAGGTATAAGCCGAATATCGTAGAGCAAAAAAAGATGATCGACAGTTTTATCTATTCATGATTGGCGTTATACTGAATATGGAAATAGTTGATCTTTAAATAATTGAGACTCTAATAGTAGAATGTTTGGTGGCGTGCAATTTTCTGAAAATTGCATTGGTTTGTGTGATGTTACGTAAATAAAATCAATACCACACAATAATTTTTGCCGTTTTCAACCCTCAGAACTTCTTGATGCATAATATTAGAATTTACCTATACAATATCCCCAATTTGTATCGCAAAATCGGAAACAGTCTGAGTGTTCTTTACATCCTGAATAAAATAAAAATGAAAAATATTTTGCAACTGAGTAATTCACGACAATTTGGTGAAACAAACATCGGTCATGCCGAATAATTTATGATCGATAGTTTTAATTAAATTGAATTCGGATTATAGTAGTTATTGAAGGTATATGTTGCATAGGCAGTTTTTATGGAGGAATTTTAACAAAACTTAAGAGTTGGGGTTTAAGATTGATAAATATAAGACTGAATCTGGACAGGAGTATAAATAATGTCTCAAAAACACGAAACAAAGCTGCATCTAATCTGCATGGATAGGATATGAATTCAAGAGATGGGAAATGAAAAAATATCAAATAATTTAAAGTTTCACTAAATAAATATAATCCAGCAAACCTCCACCATAGTCCGATTGTCCGTATGTACCATCGAGTAATATCAGCATTACAGCAGCCGACAGCATGATTGATACAAAAAATCTCTGCATAATGATTGTGAAATGGTAAAAGTTTAAGTTTATCTTAAAACTAGATGAAATACTGAATTAGTAAATAATATAACTTGAAAAATGGGAGAAAAATTTTCTATTTACGCCGATGCATAAAGAGAGATTTGAAACTAATTTTTGTTCTAAATCTTCAATGAGCTGCCTCTTACCCAGCGAACAAACTGATGTTCCCAGCTCGATGTATCGAGAATTTATAATCTTTCTTCGTTTGTTTGTTTCAATTAAATGAAGTCACAGAGTTTATTTAGAACAAAAATGCAATTAAAGAAACAACGATCGCGCAAAAGAAATTTCCGGCAAATTACTGGTAAAAGTAATAAATTATATAATATGTTCTTGGTAATATAAAGCAAATATCTTATTTAATTTCATTGTCCAATACAATGGTATTTGAATCAGTTTTCGCAAAATATTGACATCCGTATAGCCAGCAGGAACAATGATTGAAAATACTTTGCACTCAATTTTATATTCAAAACAATCATAAATTGAAGCAGTTCTTGTAAAACTTTGTCTTATGTAGGAAAGTAGGAAACGTATAGCTTATGAGAACAATTGAGCTCGAAGTAGAAATTCCTAGAACATTTTTTACAATTCGTTAACTACTCCACGAAGACGTGATATCGACTGCGTTCGTTACTAATTGCTCTGGATTCCAACTATCGGGTCAGCTATTCAGCATAGCCAACTTTATTCAGATATTGTTCCTGAACTATACACTGGTTTGCGTGGGTGCTCATTGAATATTGTAAAAATAACTAAGGACGAAAACGTATCGCGCGAGTATATTCAAAAAAATCCCAAATGTAAATCTGCTACCATACTCTTTAATTTGAGAAAAAAAAAGTAAGTAAATCGTTATCGTCCTAAATCCATGAAGTTTAACTAAAAGGGCGACTTTTTGTGACATAATATAACGATTACCATGACGTCATACCACCTCAGAACAGAAATTGCCCGGTCGACAGACATACAGACATGGCGGTCCACTCCCTCACTAATCTTCGTTAACTATTAATGTATTAGTAAATCATCAGCTTCCGCGCAAAAAAAGGCCTTCACGGAATTCGTAGAAATTTGAGAGATGTTTTTTGCACCAAAACATAGGGTCTCGCTATGTTCTTATTTTTCTCGAGAAATCAACATTTATTAAACAACATGCTACAGCGCTGGAAAAACAACTAAGCCAGATTCTCCCTCGTTAGAAGCGTGGTGCGTCTTTACAGTAGTTCAGGCACATCAAATGGAATTGACGATGTAGGGGGTAGGCCGTCTTCTCAAATGGGAATATTTGATTTCATTTTCTGAGGGTATTCTATATTGAGGGTATCATGAGCTCGTCCTAGCTGTTACATAGCATTTATTATCGAAATAGTATAGTTAAATACTAAACAAAAATTAGATCAAACTTCGCCATCAAGTGTTAAATTGATTATGAATGTATAAATCAGCTTGGTCATAAAATGGCTACGTATTCAACCAAAAGGCAAAAGCAACACTTGGAATTTATTCAAAATTAGAAATCAAGCTCCAATTTTAAAGGAAAACTATTATATCAAACATAAAATTTATTTATGATCTACTTTTTGAGTTAAAGATGATTTGTTATGGATTAAAAGAATTCTAATCAAATATTAAAATTGGGCAGAAACATATTCAGAATTCGAACATAATATTTTTAAAATAACAAAAGAGTAAATTAAACCAAATAGCCTTATACTTGCAGAAAACTAATCATAATTCTTTTGGGGCTCAAAAATCTTTTGCCATGTATTAACATCCCAGACAAGTTTTCAATTAAATAGAGAAATGGACGAAATATACCAAGAAGTCAAACGAAATACTTTCAATGCACAAAAAATGTCATTTCGCACTGAAATACTCAGAGAAAAGGTCTAAAATTTCGTATAATCTTGGTTTGGTGTTCAGAAAATCGTTATTCTGTGTTCACGTTTAGCGGTGGGGTGAAAAGTCTGTAATCTCTGAACGTCATACGCCGTCAGAATGACATTTTTACACAGCAGACAGAGAAACAACAAATCAAGCAGATCGATATTCAAAATTTCATTACTTGTTTCTAGAATTTGCAATGAGATAAAAAGAATTGTTTCGCCGGCCGGAGGGAAGTCTTCTCTGCAATCTGTGTTGGCCAAACGTTCACTTATCACAGTGTCATTTCATCTCAACTTCACTGCATAGACCACTTTTTTGACTTAGGATTTAAGGCATTGAACAAACACTCATTAAAATGTATTTAATGCTGCCTTGTCTACAGAATGTCGTTCCTATGGTTACCTCTCTGGGCGGTGCTCGGAGTTGTATTTTTGTTGTTGCCGTAAATTTATTTAATGATACAATTTAGGGTTAGAATCACGGTTAAGGATTAAGTGGGCCAGGGGTTTCCAAACCAATTTTGAGTTACATTTCAACTTATCACGAAGTGCATTAGGTTACGTGTAAGAATAATCCTTCCATAACTACTAATCTGCTTTAAATATATTTTTTATCGCTTGTTGTTAATAGTTTGAAGACTTAAATTAAAGAATTATTTAGAAAGTCACATTTCCATTCCAGTATACGCTTCAACAACAACTAACATTTCTATTTTCTCAGTTTACAGGACTTTTTTGTCCAATCGCATACAGTACAGAAATAAGAAAACTAAGAAATGTAAATATCCAAAATAAGAAGGGGGATCAAATAGGCATACTTTTATTTATATAGCCTATCAGCTTCAAGACCCCTCAAACACTTGGCTACTCACACCACCGTATGAGAACCACTGATCTGAGCTATTTGTTCTGTACCCAAACTGCTCTTTCGCAAAACTTACAAACTTTAGAGACTATCTGTGAACGGGTACGTCTATCCTCGAATCAATTTCACGAATCACAAATACAGGAATTGGAGACGAAATGCCTTTTTGGCATTATAAATTATATTTTTATATAAATTTGACGAGTAGCATTATCAATGTCTTTATGGAATCATTTATGGATGCATTATGGAATCATGGAAGTATGTGTTTTCCTTGTTAGAATTGTTACCAATGTCACGAGTTTTTCGTTCCTTATGTATCAACATTCCATTCCCACATTACAAAGCTATCCACAAAAGGCGTCCTACTCCGAATTGAGCATCATCTTTTTTTTTATCCCGCATGTAACCCGACATTAATAACACTTCCTGATTTGCCCGCCATGGGTAACCGCACTTCAAATTCACACCAATCCCAACATCTATTAGCAAGCTGATTCCATTCCACCAAATAGTCGTTCAGTGGTGGATGACTGCTATTTCTGCACACACCTGTTTTTTTCTTCTTCCTGAGTTGCAGTCTTTCTCTGAAATACGAAAGTTTCTCAAAGAGATTGATTGGATTTTAATTTCTGCCTTGCATCGATATTAAGACCCACCAGTGCATAGGATATGCCTTTTAAGTGACATGCCTTATCTTGAAACCGAAAGGCGTGGCGATGTTTTTTTTTAAAGGATGGAATTGAGATACGAGGTTGATACACATTCATCATGAAACATACAACATTTAGCAGCTCTACACATTTGATGATATTGACAACACCAAAACCCTCCCTCATTACTGCTGTAAGATTGAGGCAAATGTTGTTTGGACAGCATGGACGTTGGGAATAACCTCCTGGACTTGCAGTAAACCTTATCGAGCACTAAATATTGCGGACAACTGTCGGCGTAGAAACTCACAGTGTTTCCCCAGTTCATTTCCTTTTTTTGATGGGGGTTGTCTACAATGTTGAAGATTTCAAGCGACAAGTTGTTTTATTTGGGCTTCTTTGTTATGAAAATACATATGATTTTTTTTACGTTTTGCGGCGATTCGTTTCCAAAATCTCATCTTTTTGTTTTCTACTGCCTAGCCATAACACATCATATTGTGGCTTTGAAGCACCATGATCATTGGAAAAGGTGAATACCAACAACAACAATTTTGCTTGAAAGAATACTTGAAGGTTTATCGTAACAATAATATTTGTGCTTGGTTTTTGCGAAGGGTGAAAAATTGCCCAATTCATGAGAATTTGATGGTTACAGATCCAGGTAAAAAAATTTGACTTCTTTTATTGGTGTTGAAACATTAATATGAGTCGTATGTTCGATCATTTTAGTGTGCTATACGAGAGCGTGTTTTTTTTAAACAAAAGTTATCAACTAGTTACCATGAATATTCACTTTGTCATATTCAGTACAATCTGGAAAGATAGAATGTGCAGAGACAAACATTTCACTCTTACTTGATCTTTAATTTATTCATAATCATGTATAACAACATCTATAATTTGTTTATACCTGAATTATTTTTGAAGTTAGGTATAAGGAACATCATATCAGAAACTCGTCCTGGGCAGTAGAAAAGTTTGGTACGCCCCTGTTTACATGGGGTATGGCATACAAACTCGTGCGAAATCATTTAGCAACAAAATCAATTCATCATTACATTCCTTTACTCTTATGTCACACTTCAGATTTGTTTCTTTGTCTTCTGCTCCGTCACGCCAGATTGCCATCCACCTACAATAGCAAGCACTAATTTGGTCTTGTCGTCAACAATGCGTGAGAAGAATATTCGATACATTTTCTTTTGCAGTCTGGTAACAATATATGTGTTACCTCAGTAAGTTGAAGGAGAAAAAATTTATTGCACCTATCTGGAGCAATGTGTATCAAGTGAGGTACAATGTTGTGAACGTTCTTGAAAGTTTACGTAATAGCGCCAGTATAAGTTATATTCAATTCAGTATTGAGGTTATTCAAAACTGCTCAAAAACTAACGTTAGTTACGGCGAAAGAACGTCTTGGATTGTGATAATCCTCGATATTGTTTACCGGAAAGTACATTATTTATGTGCGAATTTAAACCGGAATACCTGGCGAACCTCAGATAATGTTTTATTATATACAGTATATTTATATTTGTTATATTGTAGTATATTTGTTTAAAATTTATTTGCTGCTTCGCATATGAAGAGAAACTGTTCACAGTTGACAGAATCAGCAATAATAGGGATTGTAAGTTCAAAAATAAATCAAGAGTGTATACATCAATAATTTTCAGCTTCGTGGGCTAATTTGTAAATTCGAACTTCAAATAATTTTTGCGATTTTAAATCATATTTTATTTACAGAAAGTTGACATAACAAATATCAAACTGCATATTGAAGCTAACTATTATTGCACTGTACAGTTTCACCTTAGTTCATTACATTTACGCATGGGTGAACGTTACATCGAGTATTCAAAGGTACTTTCCGTGATGTTAAAATATGAATTTCATTTTTGTACACCGAGTTGATAATGATAAATTGAAAATTATTGTGCTAAATTATTGCTATTATAAGAATGCTCATCTTCGCAACCATGGAGCCAATTGATTTCATATGCTCATCATTTGAAAATGGATTTTTATTTCGAATCTTGCGAGCCCGATATTTTATCCAAAATTTTGTTGGTTTATTTTAATTCGTGTGAACATTTTATATGACATTTGGCTTTCGTGGTCGTATATTTGAGCATCTTTGTTTGTAAAGGGTTTAAGAATGACTCTTTGTCGCAGAAAGCTACTTTGTAAGCAAGCGATTGTTAAACATCACTGAAGACTCTCGTCCGCGATTAGTTAGAAACAATTAGATTTTCCTACCGAGTTATTTATAGCATTTTTTCTGTTGAAGCACGTGTTGTAATTTTCAAGTACTGAATATAAATTAACCATGTCTCTCTTCGAATGGATCAGCGAGAAATTGAACAGCATAAATTCCAAAAAGGAAGATAGTCAAGGCTGCAGTGGAATCGAGGAAGAATCAGGATTCGAGATTTGCGACAAAAACTACAATAAATGGATTCGAGATGAATTTGTGAAAGAGCATGATCACATCAGCGTCAAGAATGATTCAATCAAAAATCATTTTTGGAATATAGATCGAACATCTTCAAAGGAGCCAAGTTGGACATTTGCCTTGCCTTCTGCAGGTGGACAACTATACGTAGCGTACAGTATGGATATGAACGATAAGGAGATTATAATGGAATACCCAATTAAAAACGAGGGCAGAAAAGGAATGTAAATATACATTTTAGGCCTACTATATAACGAAAATATAATTATATTCATTTGACTACATGACGTCTGCATATACCATAATATATATGTACCATACCACTTAGCTGCAATAAGAAATAGTTAGACTAATTCACAACAGAAATTGCAAACTACAGTTTTATACCGTAAAACTGATACCATTTTAGCAAACCTGGAACCTGTTTTAACACATTTTACATCGCATTTTACAAGTGCAATTTGTACACGAAGACAAACTACAGAAAAATATCGAGAATCTCGTTGTTTGGATTTTTTCTCTTTTACAGTTAGTTCACGATGTTATTGCAAGCTGGTGGAAGAATGTTGTTTCGGGTAGAGACCCCGTCCAACCGCTATCTTGTGCGTAATCAAGACGGTCTATTGGAAAATATCCAATGTAATATGGACCTTCAACTGTTCACTCTCTTCTTTGAAAGAAAAGGGGGATTAGGATACATTGACTATTCATTGTGAGGTCAAGAGAGTGTAAGGACATACGCCGATTTACGACAAAGTAACTTAATGGAAATGAGAAAAGCTGAAGAACGCACAACTTGCCTGCAATTTGACGAATATTAGGTTTTATTTAATTTAAGAGTCTTGCTGTACACTAACACAATGGACTGAAATCAGACGAAACGTTACAGAAACACATTTGTTTTGGTGTGGTGCAAGACTCTTGAATTAAAAACAGAATATTGATCTTTATTATTGCTACGGCATTCTTATGCGCATACGAATCCACTTGCGCGAGGCGTAACCTCAACTTATAATATTCCCATTTTATGTGATATTGTTTGTTAATCACTAGCAAATTATCATAACAAACAAAAAGCGAGAGTCGTTACGTAGATCTTAATAACGTGAAATAATTACACTATTTAGAGGTTGATAAATTAAAACTTAAAGATAAAGGATATATAAAACATACCTTTTCGTGTATAGTCTGATAGGAGTCGATGGATCAATCAATACCAAATCACCAGAATATCCAGGCAATGTTGCAATTCTTCTACCTCGGTTCATACGCATAGAATCCCCACTTGCTACAGAACGGTCGTAGTAATTCATAACGAAAATTAAAATTAAATTGTTATGTTTTTCTGATTTCAGTTCACAATTATACCCTTTCGTTCCAACCAGCTTCAACTGCTAAGGACTCCTGTACGCTGTAGTTCACTCGGCTTTTTATCCGAGCAACCGTTTTTTATTACTATGAAAACAGTCATGGTACAAAGATACCGTAATACCTTAGCTATGCTTCTATTTATATCTGGCTCAAACTTGACCGATGTTTTCACTCGTCCGAAACAGTTATCAGATATAACTACGTCGCTATGCACTCCCATGTGTATTCGGCCGGCAATTGTTATTTTCGTCGTTTACGTGGGAATGTCATCCTGAATCGCATAGTAATAGGTTTTGACATCATGGTTAGCAATTTCTCACAGGATTCCCATAATATCAGATTTTGTCAATAACTTGACTTAAACGAATATATAACAGCGAGTATGATTTTTAATCGAAGAGAAGCATCCAAATCTTGGGCGATATTACACTCACATAATTTTAGTATAATTTAATTTGATCATCATGAACTTATTTTCTAACCGCGGGCCATCGAAGGAGGGCTGATATCAATCGTGCTCGGCCTTTATACCCTCAGTCACTAAGATACTGCAGTCAACTTTAAAACATTTTTGATTACTGAATTACTCTCAATTTAAAGATATCTGTCATCACTTGTCATGATTTCATGACTGATTACAATACGGACGAACTAAGAACCTTGCAACTTAAATTAGAATAATTAGATCATCGAAAATTATTCGTTTTCTCGCACTGTCCAGCAATCGCTCCAAATCCTAGCATCGTGGAATAATCTCGTTTACATGGATAAACAAACAATCATGGTACGAGACTGCTTCATTAACCTACAACAACCACAAAGCCTATAAAACAAATGTCCTATACAACAGTGGTTCCCAACCGCCGGTCCGCGAAGCTTTTTTGCCGGTCCGCAAGAAATTTCGTTGTTTTCATGCCGTTCCAATCACTTTACCGAAGACGAGGTTGCGTTTGTTAATTGCGCAATTTCTCTTCCGTCGTCATATTGCGACATCTTGACGACGTCTTTCGCGACATATTGGCGCCGAGTAATCACACTTTTCGCTTTTTCGGCTGCGATTTATCGCGAATGCGCTCCATCAAATTTTGCAAGATTCAGTAACCTAAAAATCGGAAGGCGTACTTTTTCTGTTCTGCATGCTTTTCCTCATTAATATGACAATTTCTAAAAAACGTTATGTATATTTCTTTGTTTGAACCAAAAAACAGAAAAGAACAGTATAATATCCCAGTAAGATATGAACTTGTTGCGACCCTGCAGGTGGTCACGAGACGCGCAAAGAAGCATGGGCCGCTGAGATCTTTTCTAGTATTTTAAGCATACACAATAGGATTTAGCCTGGTGCCAAGTTACCGACGACTTTGTCATTGTAATGTAAATTAATTTCGCTTGAGGCGTCGGTCAACTGCAGAGGGATTAATATTATGAACCCGATGAAAAAGAAAAAGCCTGTTTATAAATTGTGATTCTGCTTTACAGTTCAGACTTAAAAAAGAATCACTGTCACAATTTTGAATATCTCTTGATAACGAATACCAATGAGCATATATACATATTTCAAATACCCATCGCTAAGTAATATAGCAACCAAACTGTTGTCCGTATTTTCAATCAGTTACTTGTTCGTCATGCGAAAAAACATTTTCATCCCTAGCTTCAATTAAAACGGAGCAAAGAAATCGGCTACACGCCGCTGCAGAGCCACGTGTTGCAAAAACTTCTTTGAGGCCTCGTTTGCAATCCTATATTGAAAACGAAACAGCAGCAAAATTCTCACTAGAGTTAATTGTGTTTTTACATGATTCGGCATGTACATGTCGTCACGCTAATAACCGAATTGCGTTTTTTCACAGGTAATTCACCGCATTTCGAGTTTCCTCAACCAGTCATTTTCAGCAGTTTTAAGAAAAACGTGAAAAACTTCCTAATGACATTGTTATGCCATTGAGAGTCAATGATTTGCCATGGTTCAAATTTTTGATCGTAGTCGGATTTAAGTTTTAATTTGTATGACGCAGTTAAGTGACGTCATAATGGTGCACTGTGACTTAGGCAGAAATGTGTCTATGACTTGGGGACATACGCAATTTTGCAACTTTACTATATGCACTATGTAATTCTCAGTATCTACAATGTCTAATCCCAAAAATATCTAATCAGTTTCAATTACATTATTTTTTATGTTTAAAAACTTATGTGAGATATTTTACCTATGCCTTTCTTACGCATAATGGGTGCCCAACACTGCATTTCATTACGCAAATATATGGTATTATTTTATGTTTCACCCATTTCAATTTTTGGCTGGCACATTATTTGATAGTTTTTCTTCGTGTGAAATGTTTTCAAGTGTGCCTTTTTTGTCCAGAAGCACATTGAGTGCCCGACATTGCATTATATTAAGCACATATATGTTATTCTTTTCTGTTCCGGTCATTCCAATTTTTGCCGGTCCGCGAGTACATTTAATTTAAGGGTAAAAAGGTTGGGAACCACTGCTATACAACATCAGAAACGATCCGTGGCTAATTCGCACTTTCAATAGAATGAATATCATCGGTCATCTGGGAATAAATTACATTTTCCCGCAATATAAGTTTATTCTTTCTAATGCAGAAGGTTCATATTACTTACTCTACGTATAGTATACTTAATGAATGAATATTTCCGCTCTTTCGATTTCGTGCGGTGACTATCGAATAAAATTCATGTTTCATTTCTTATTTAATTTACCTGCTCGACTGCGTTGTTATTAATGCAAAATCTGCAATGCTATCGAACTTGTTTCATATATGATGCGAATCTGTCCTCTTTGTAGAAAAACAGCGGACGATGTCACGGTTTGTTCGATATGTTTTGAAAATAGGATAATCTTTTTTAAACATTTCTGTCGCGACAAAGTTATTCGCAAAATTAGCAAAAATCCAAAATCTTCTCTAAATTAATGTTAGTTTAGGAAAAATGGGACGAACCGCTTCCAATTGATCACCGTACATAAAAAAAATATATTTCTGAATAGGTCAAACTCAATATTAAAAAGACTGGGTAATGTATATATGACCTAATGGAACTTCAAATATCGGTCCACCCTCAGGCGACCGACAAGCCAACTAACTATACGCTAAGTTTTTATTTGTGCTCTGAGGTTAAATATTCATAGAAAATGTACGAGTGCCAACTGATGTTCCTTCAATTCACGCAGTTGACAAAACATGCGACTTACTCCGTAAATTGTCCACCTTTTCGTTTTATATATTGGACATAAAATATATCAGCGTACATTTTTCACTCTATAGAGTTACAAAACTGAATTACCTTTATTAGAGAATATATATCTGTTGCAGAGTCTCATTGTGTGTGGGTCTAATTATTAACGAGTTTATTTTGGCTTGTGGCACTAGCTCTGAGTCATAAGAGAAAACGAGTCGCATCATCTAATGACGTAAATTGAATACTGAAAGTAATACGACATTGAAAGATGCTTTCCGTATATGCTGTGATATAATATATTTACACGTTCATGAAAACGCTTCGTTTTTCAGAGTTTCGCAAAAATGAGAAAATGTTGGCATCGAAGCCAGTTATTGGTTTTCAGTAAATGCATATGGGTTTGACCAGTTTATTATACCAAAAAATTCCGAACTCAGGTATTAGAATGATCGCGTTATGTTACACTTCGAGGACAAATCTTTGAATTCTTCCTGCCTCAGTATATGGTCCGTTTTATCGTTATGGAATGGATCCTTACTGATGCATATGAAAACAAATCCTTGAAGGCGTCAATTATTTAATTCGACATTCCCATCCCATAGCAATTATGCCTGTCCCATCCCATCCGATTGGAATAAAATTCAAAAAAATTGGTAAATTTAGATTTAGCGTCTACTAAATAGGCAGGCTTGTCCATGGGATATATTTTTCTGTCCCATTCCCATCCCATAGCAATTATGCTTGTCCCATCCCATCCCATGGAATCCCCATTGGAATAAAATTCAATAAAAATTGTTAAATTTAGGTTTAACGTCTACTAAATTGGACTACATGTACGAAGAGACATGCAAAACAACAAAATTTACGGACTTTGTTAACTTTAACTATCATACATGTGTCCATCAACCCCTTCACGAAATATGTTGTTAACGCTGAATATATGTTTGCTCATTATAACCAACAAGAGAGATATGCTCAAATTTATGGACACGAAGTCCATAACGAAAGGTTTTAGCATCATTTCCCCGAAAATAATACGGTTTTCGTGTCCCATGAGAAAAACAAATGTGTGTTGTACCATCCCATGGGACGTTTCCCATGGGAATCCCATGGGAAACCTGGGCAAGCCTGTAAATAGGACTACCTTACGAAGAGACATGTCAAACAACAAAATTTACGTATTTTGTTAACTTCATACTCATAAGTATTATACATGTGTCCATCAGCCCCTTCACGAAGTATATTGTTGATGCTGAATATATTTCGCTCTTTATAACTAACAAGAGAGATATGCTCAAATATATGGACACGAAATCAATAACAAATTGTTTTACCATCATTTTCTCAAAAATCATACGATTTTAGTGTCCGACGTGTCCCATAGGAAATTCAAATGTGTGCTGTCCAATCCCATACCATGGGACGTTTCCCATGGACAGGCCTGGCAATTTCATATTGACATAAAGGCATTCAAGCCTATCATCGATCTCTTGCAACAATCCCCCTTTCTATTGTTTCAATTTCTATTGCTTTTACCTTGCTAAAACGGTCGAATTTACACTCGACAATTGACTGATCAATTCTATTTTATCGAAGCCATTGGTTCTCAAACTTTTTAAACCGCGCTCCCTTTTTAGAATATGTCAAGTCTCGCGTCCCACCTCAAAATTAACAATGAGCTACAAATAACATCAAGTATGTTTTATGCAAAAAAAACTACCAAGATCAAATTCAACAAATTTTCTTATTGTTAATTAGCTCCACGCTCCTGAAATTTTCTACCTGTGCGCCCCATCGTTTGAGAACCTCTGTTTTAAAATTTTCCACTCACCATCGACTCGCTTTGTGACCGGTAGAATAAGAAATCTCCAGCTGAGAACAAGTAAATATCGGCTTATTAAAATAAAGTTAATGTCTTTCTTCTGAATGTACGATCCAAAATGAATGAAGTACTGACGGGACACTAAGCCGAAGCCCGACCTAGCTTTGATTCGCGCTGAACTGATAACACATTTGATAGGAGCGGTTTCAAATAAACATTGAAATCCGAGGTAATTCTGAATTAACCATTACCCCATCTGGTTGCACATGAATGTCCATTCACCTGCTTCAAGTCAAAGTATATTCGAGCTAGCTCTTTCGCATCGCACGGGTTTTCTTTCGATATCAAGATATCAAAACCTTCAAAGGCCTGGTTAATGGAATTTTGCGTCTGTGGAGCGATTTACTTTTGTTTTGAGCATGAGTTGCTTTCAAACATACCAATATTGGCAAACAGAGACAAAAATTATAATGACTCGTGAAACAAAACCTATAAAGGGCTACATGAACCTCAGAACATTCCAAAGTTGTAAATGGCTTCAGTGTGTATCTGGCTCCCGCTATACCTCTTACAGTCTAACTTGGCAACTATCAAATGCAGATCCCAACCGCTGAAAATTCCGGACTACGCACCGATTGTCGAACTCTAACCTGACCCGAATGCAAGTCATACAAGGTCATCAAACATGATTACTGTACGATATTTTATTATTTTATACTCAGTAACTTCTAAGCAAATTCATTTTCTCCGTTTGCATTGGTTCTTACCCTTTGCAAA